CCTCCCCCGTTCATGCTCTGTCTCTCTCTGTCCCAAAAATAAATAAAAAACGTTGAAAAAAAATTTTTTTAAAAAAATAAAAAAATTCAAAGGGAAAAAACAGTGAAACACCAAAAGTTGACTGGAAACTGCATAATTAAGAGTAGCCACCATTTTGTTGGGAAACTTCTAAAATGTAAGTTTTGGTAGATTTTTGTTCTCTTGGGTTTTCAAGAGAAGAATTTTCAAGAGAAGAATCCTCTTCATCTCCACTCTGGGACACAGAAGCTTCGGTGCCACTATTGTTGGAAGCAAGCTGGGGAAGAGGGCTGAGGTCCCAGTAGGCTTTCATTTAATCTCCCTGTTTTTACTCTGCATCTCATCCCTCTTGGTGCTCCTGAGATCAAAGTCTCTGATCTGGTTTCTGCAGAAACTTTTACCATCCTGCTGGATGGGGTTAGGGTCGTTTCGTGACCTCAGGGCATGGGGGAGGAAGCCTAGGGGGGTTAACTGCTCCTTACATAGACTTGTAGGGGACATCCTCCTGTCTCCCTCCCACTACCCCACCCTCTGAGATGCCTGGAGCCACCTGTCCCTGAAGCTGTCAACATGACACAGGTTGTTTCTCCTGGGCCTCCTCTGCAAGCATCAGCTGTAAACCAAGGTCAGTTTCTACATATCCACCCTTGTTCCTTCTTCAGAAACTATTGACCCATCTTCTTTCACTGTCATTCCCATGCCTGTTCTCTTTGTCCCTGGGGACTTATGGGTTTTTTTTCTTTTTTTTAATCTATTACCAATATTTCCTTTAGGGAGGAAGCAGAGGAAAAAAGCCTGGGTTTAATCCACTGTTTTCCCTGAAGACACTTAACCTTCCTGAGCCCCGTTATTTTCGTGCGTAAAACAGGGATAATGACGCCTTCCTCCCAAGGTCACTATGAGAATTTCATTATAGACCTGGGCACACTGCCTAGTGCCTATAGAATTGCAATAAATATTGGTTTCCTGTCCCTTCTTTCCCCATAATTACATCAGACACCGGCAATGGCTGGCTGACTGCCTTCGACCTTCAGCCCAGACCTTGTCTCTTGCTACCTCCTGAGGGGTCTTCTCTGCTGCTCACCATTTACTGCTCCCTCCTGAGCCTATGCAGAACTGCCAGCATCCCTGAGCACTTGCTGTGTGCCCACCACAGGCAATAGCCGTGGCCTCTCTCCTCAAGATACCTCAGTCCATGGAGCATTCTTTCCTTACCTGTTGAGGGATCCTGTCACTTCAGGGTTCTCTCGGGGGCATTTGCAAACACATGGCATTCAAATGAGGAACACAAAGCTTGTCTGCTCACTTAGAATGCTTACTTTGTGCTACTTTACAAATGAGAAAACTGAGACTCAAGGAAGTTAGCTAACTCACCTAACCCTGACCCTAACCCCTAACCCTAACCCTAACCCTAACCCTAACCCTAAACCCTAACACTAACCCCTAACCCTGAGTTAGGTAAATTAGTTAACTTACTAACTTACTAACTTGAGTCTCAGTGGTAGAATCAAGATTCAAGCCTGACTCCACAGTCTGTACTTATATATACTGTACTACACCACTTAGTGGCCCCAGGGCCCTTGGCTCAGCACCCAGATGCAAAGAAATTTAGAGTGGCACAAACAGCTCCTGTGGCTCCTGCAGTGGCTCAGGGCCCTTTGGAGCAATGTATGACACCCAGATTCTTAGAAGTGCCATAGAAGGAGGTATGGGGCCCAGGGGCCCAGAGGATCCCAGGCATCCCAAGGTACTAGGGCATCTTTAGAAACCTTATCTCAACTCCCAAGAAAACATTCCAGAATGGTAGGAAATGCCTGTCCTTTCTTTACAAGTTGAGACTCTAATAATTTCCTTTGTTTTTTTTAACTGAAACTAACAAATTATTTTATTTTCAAAATAGAAGGTAAAAAGCACAATAATTATTAATTCTATTATTCCCTATAATGGATTGGATCATTCAAATCCTTTGAAGTAACCAGTAAATACTCAGATTGTGAGATTTATAATATGCCCTTACTAATAGCAAATGCTTTTATTTTTTTGTGTTTTTTTAATATATGAAATTTATTGTCAAATTGGTTTCCTCTACTACCTTCCTTTGGACAAGCCCCTGTGGAACATGTGTAAGCTCCTCACAGGACATTTCATACAGCTTATGAGCCACTGTGGCAAACACCCCAAGAGGTGATGGCATTCAATATTAAGAAGGGGAAGGGAACAAGTCTTAGTAGAGCACCCACTACACAGTGCCTGGCTCCTTGCAGCCATTGTCTCATTCAAGTGGTGTTACTACCCTCAATTCACAGATGAGCAAACCCAGGCTCAGAAAAAGTAAGTGAATTATCTGATGTCACATAGCTAGCGACAAACATTAAGGTGACTGGCCTGGGCCCTCTGGACGGTGGATGTTCTTGGCATGGCTCCAAGACCTGAACTGAACTTCAAATGGCCTGGAGCAGAGGAAGAGGATTTGGGTACTGCCCTGCTTGGGTACTGCCCTGTTCAGCCAACAAACAACCAGCAGGACCTTGCAGACAAGAAAACTGATGCCCAGGTGGCCACATAACTTGTCATAGATCACCCAAGCAATTATAAATCTTCACATTCTATCCTACCCTTTGGAACGTGGGGACTGAAAAGAAAACCCCACTCTGGCTTTGCAATCTGAGTGAAACTAATCCCTAATGTTGGATAGTGCTTTAGAATCTTGTTTTTCAAATTGTGGTCCCCAGACCAGCAGCATCTAGATCTCCTGGGAGCTTGCTAGAAATGCAGAGTTTCAGGCTGCACCCCAGGCCTCCCGAATCGGGGTCAGACCCCTAATGATTCATGTGCACACTAATGTTTGAGGAATATAGTATGAGACCACAAACTGTCATTAAGAGGGATCCCACTGAATCCTTCATTCCTGAGCCCCTCTGGGAGAGAGTCATCAGCCCTCATCGTGCAGATGAGGACATGTTCAGAGAGGTCACAGGATGGGTGACTGGCAGAACTGAGCCCAGCTCTCTCAGTTCCACCTGGCCACCATGCTTGGCGGTGAGCAACTCTCAGTTCCTGATTCAAGAGGCCCTGGCTCTCCCTGTCCTCAGAGGGGCAGGCTTGTGCACATAAAGACAGTGCTGCAAGAGGCCTTCAACAATAGACGTTCCTCACAAGCTCATCTGGAGCCTACATGGTAGCAAGTATTGTCTACACCCTACCAGTTGGGCCTAGGATCTTGTGCAGGCTCTGGAGACCTCACATCAGTCTCCTGTGGACGCCCTTGCTTGGGAAGGGGAAGCTCCTAACCCACATTATGACCTCTGTGTAGGGGACCAGACCCCAGGGCTCACAGACCTGGCATGCTCTGGCCAAAGGGCAGGATCTGGAGTAAGCAGAGTCAGGTTTGAGTCATGGCACCCTGGGCCAACCACTTCCCTCTACCCTGCTATTGGCCTCAGTTTTCCTCATCAGCAAAATGAGAGTAATGATCCTTCCTTTCTCCTAGGAAGGCTCTGAGATTAAAGGAGGTGATAACACAAGGTGTTTTAACTGTTTTACTGTTAACACAGTAAAGCTCTAACTAACTATTCCCTCCCCTTCCCACCCTGACCCCCCCCTCACTTTCCTTGGCTGCCAGGCCTGGCCCAGAACTCCCAGCTGACCACTGATCTCTGCACCAGCTAAAGGACACAGCCCCAGGTTGCCAAGTCATGGGATTGGGCACCCACCTTCTTCTCAGGAGTGAGAACTGGCAAACAGGAGGTCGGGGCCCCTGCAGCCACCTCAGCTTACGAGTACCCACGAGGCACACCCAGAGAATTCAGCTTATGTGGCATCTGAGGCACCTGGGCAGGAGACTATTTCCACTGGGCGGGGCCCTTCTTTTTGCCGAATTATGGGGGCACCAGCCCTCTACCTGAGGGTTTTGGCCAGATCTTTACAGGGAAAGGGGCTGAGAGGTGAAACATGGCTTTTCTCTCCTGGGCTTCAACCCACTGGACCTCTGGAGCATGTCACACACCCCATTCAGTGCTTCTACTCCAGTACCTCATGTAATCCTCACGACAACCTGTTGAGGTGGTAGGCATTGTTATTACTACTCTCATGTTACAGATGAGAAGCTGAGCCTCAGAGAGGTTGGGCCTCTTCCTTGTCCAAGGTCACACAGATGGTAAGAAGAAGAGCCAGGTAGAATCCACTCCACTTGGATCCCCACACCGCCGTTCTTTCTCAGATTCAGTGCCAGTCATTACATCAGCACCGGCCAGCCCTGGGCTGCTGCCTCCAGCATGGCTGTGTGAGCAACTCCTTGCCCCTCCCTCTGCCTCGTGGGTCCCCGGTTCTGCCAGCCTTCAGGGGTGGGGGACCGTGAAACATGGATACTCACCCTTGGGGACAGGCACAGCCTGAGAGGCAGGGGCCATGAGCTGGCACGCTCAGGTTCAGCAGCTGCTGCTCACATGTCCTCTCTCTGCTCAGCTCGGGGTCGGTGTGCAGGTCACTGCAGTTCACGAAGACCTGGCCCACCGGGCAGGCAGTGGCTGGAGGAGAAGAGGGTGGCTGCTGGGAGGAGCACGGACGCTCATCGGGCCTTGGAACACCCAGGCCTGGGGGTGGGCTCCTGGGTGGCAGGGGTGACCAGGGAGACCTGGGGACACAACTACTGGAAGAGGCAGGGAGACAGGGGGCTCTGATGCTTCCAGAGGCATCCCTTGGGTTCCCAGATGCACCACCAGTACCCAGAGTACCATGTGCTCTCCACAGGGCACTGTTCCAGGCATTTTACATGCATTTTCTTACCGAATCCTGCAACACCCTATGAGGCGTTGTTATCCTCCATTTTCCATATCATGGAAAGAAGTCACTTCTGCTCTCAAAGGCATGATAAAGTGAGAGGAAGTGCCTCAAAGAGACCAGGAGGAGAGCCAGAAAGAGGATAGCAATGCAGTGTGGCAGGGTGGCCAGAGGACTTTAAACCACAAGGAAGTCAATTTCCCGTTACTTACACTTTTGTGACATAAACCCCTTCTCTCTCCCTGAGCCTCCAGTCAAGTCAGCTGTGCACACTTACACCTTGTGTGAGTGATCGTTTTTAGGGAAATCAATAAAAGGGAGCTGAGTTCCATGCTCAGCCTGGGATGGAGCAGAGAGAAGAGAATAGCCATGGAAGATGAGAGGAAGAAATCTGAAGCCAGAAGCAACACCAACCAAAAACAAAACAAAACAAAAAAATGCTTTCAGGAATACATACATGGGGAGAACACAGAAATCCAGGTTATATACAAAGGAGGAAGTGACGGCTCAGAGAAGCGAAGTGAGTTACCCAGGGTGGCACAGCTTTTAAGCATGGGGCAGGATTTGAATCCAGGGCTACCAGACTCTGGAGGCCCTGCTCTTTGCCACCTGCCATGTGATTATTCTCTGACCCCTCTGTGCCAATCCCCATCCTCCCTTCCGCTTCAGTCCCCTGCTCCACCACCTCCACATCCTTCACAGGCTGATCTAGTGCCAAGCCACCCTACCGTCTTCTCTATTGCCTGGGACAGTCTCAGAGACCCGGGCTGTCCTCCCCATCTCTATGACCCCCAAGTCTAGCACAGGACTGGGCAGCGTCAGCCTTAGTAGACAAATGACAGCTCAGAACAAGGAAACCCAGGACCCAGGGGAGGCCAAGGGACTGTCCAGTCACCCCAGCTAGTTGCCCCTAGGAGAGATAGTCTCAGCCTCTCCTTCTTGAGAAGCAGGAGGGACAGCTGCCAGGATGGGGCTGAAGTTGGGATGGGATTTCTGGATGCCACCCTCCAAACTGGAGCTTTTCCCAAGACAGTGAGGAAAACAGCAGGCTCAGTGGGCTCAGTGTGGCTGGACTCAGATGTGGCTGGGCTGTCTCTGTCCTGATCTATCCTCTAGCTCCCCACTTGCCTCTCCATAGCCCCACCACGATGGAGGAGCCCCTAGAAGAACCCCCCACCTTCCACCTTACCTGGGAGTCTGCTGTCACAGCTCATGATTCCATCTTTGCAGTGGCTGCAGAGAGAGGGAGGAGTGGGGTGTATACCGGGATTAGCTGACTCAGTCACTGCAAAGCCAGAGACTGCATGCCACTGTGCTCAGGCCCCTGCAGGGTTCAGACAGATATCCCCACTCTGTCCCTGGTCCCCTGCGCAGAGGTGGAGGGTGGGCACTGCTTCGTGGAAAGGTCTGCTAGGCTGTATTTTCTTCAGTCAGCAACTTCCATTTAAAGAGAGAGGCACTAGAGAGCCTGGGTGGCCTTCATATTAAGTCGTTAGGCGCTGACTGGCTCATAGATCTCACGGGTTCATGAGTTCCAAGCTGGTGAGGCTGCTGTGCTGACAGCTCAGAGCCTGGAGCCTGCTTCAGATTCTGTGTCTCCCTCCCCTCAGCTCCTCCCCTGCTCACACTCTGTCTCTCTCTCTCAAAGAAAAAATAAAGATTTTAAAAAATTTTTTTAAAAAATAAAGAGAGGACACTAAATCTGCAACCTAGGGAGCTCACCAGTGGCCCAGAGATGGGATGTCACTGTCTCCAGGGGGATAGTCCATTCCTTGAAAGTGACAGGAGCATTGGTTCCTGCAAAACCCAGGAACAGAGAAAAGTGAGCCAACTCAGGAACTGGGGCAGGGACCCCACCCCCACCCCCCAGCAGCCAGGACCATAAGGACACAGAAAAAAGCAATGGCATCTACTGTGACAAGTGACAGATATCCAGGGAGTGGGGAAGTCAGCCTAGCACCAGGGACAGAGGTCAGGGCTGGGTCCCAGCTTCAGGGCCATCCAGGGAGCAGGCACAAGGACAGCCTCACTGGTCTCTGTCCACCCAAAGCCAACCTCCCTTTGGGCTGGGAAAAAAGAGGTGGTAAGAACAGGGCCAAGCTTCCTGAGCCCATGCTGTGTCAGGGAGGGACACAGGGCGTATGTTCCATACTCCTCATTCCCACCCGGCATCTGTTCTGATTGCTCATGGCCTACACCATACGGCTTGTTAAACATTTTGAACACCAGACTAGGCCCTCCAAATATGTCATCTCATCTATTCCTCCTCACAGGGTCCTTTATTCTGTCTGTCTTTTGGCTCCTCTTTGTAGGTCAGCTGAGGGCCAAGACTGTGTTTCCTCCTCCTCACAACCTCCCACAGCCCCAGTGCAGGCCTTGGAGCAGACCAGTTGGGGGCTGGAAGGGATGTCTGAACTCCTCCAACCCCTGTGCTTCTCAGCCACCTTCTCTCTCTCCAATTCCTCCTCCCATGTAAACCTCAGAGGTTCCCTTTTTTGGCAATACTCAACCACAAGTCAGGGGTTGAGGGGGCAGGGCACACATCTGGATCTCAAGGGAGGATCCTGTAGTTTGAAAAGGCTACTGAATGATTCCAATATACCCCCTATAGGAGCCTCTCTCCAGCCCTTATCCCTCAGTGGAATTTTAGGGGAATTTCTCCCCATTGTGGAAGGGACTAAGTGCCTTGCCAGTCAGCTCTGGGATCCTGTGAGATCACCAGCCCTGAACTCCGCCTCCAGCCACACTGACATGCCACAGCCAGCCTCAGAGCCATCCCTGTCCCCTTGGCCTGGAGCACTCCTCCCTCAGTTCCCCCCATCTTTGCCCACATGTCACCTCAGCAGAAAGGCCTTCCTTCTGTGCATAACAGTAATCCCTCCCTGACTATTTATAGCTTATTACTACCAGACCCTTTAAGTGTCTATTTATTCATCTGTTTTGGCATGAGAATGCGAGCTCAATGAGGGCAGGATTCTGTTCTGTATTTGGCTGAACTTCCAGGGCTTAGAAATGTCTAGAACATATGAGGAGGCCAATAACTACTTGTGGAAGGAGAGGGGAGATGAAGGGAGAGAGGCTGTCTCTGTGGGAGTGTTGTTCTGTTTTATGGGGAAGCCAGGCTAGAGAGGGCTGAAGAGCTGTAGCTGAGGAAAGAGGCCCGAGAACAGGGTCTGGGGGAGGAAGCCCACCCAGGACCACCCAGCGGTGCATCATGCTCCGCCCTGTGAATGGGGGATTAAGCAGGGACATAAGAGGTGCAGTCAGGCTCCCCAGCCTCAGATGCCCTAGAGACCCTCAGCCTCCTCCCCATCTGAAAGAGGTCACACTGGCCCACTCACCTAGGGACGCAGAGGTCAGCCTGGGTATCCAGATAGGTGTCCGGTGGGCAGGCACAGCCTTCCACACACTCGTCCCCGCTGAGGTCGCTGCCACCACCAACCCCACAGGCCACAGGGCTGGCCAGGTCCTGGCAGGTTTGTCCACACAGGGCCACACAGGGGCTATACTCCTTGGTGGCCTCACAGGACAGTGCTGTAGTGGGAAATAAAACTGTGTGTTTTGTCTCCCTCATCCCCACAACTGTGTGAGGTGGAGCCATCATCCTGATGAGGAGAACTGAGAACCAGAGAAGATATTTGTTCAAGGTTACACAGCAGGTCAAGGCCAGACTTGGGATTTGAACCCAGGTCTCACTCCAGAGTCCCACTTCCTCCTGCTACACTACAATGGCAGAGTGGCAGGGGTGGGCCCCACTCCCCAAGCTCAGCCTGGACCTTGCCATTGGTGTTTCTTTTCCTCTGCAGGGCATTCTTCTTAGGTAGTGATATTGGGGGAGGGTGGAGGTCACGACTCCCTGACACCCCCTCCCGCCATCGCTCACACACAGACACATGCACAGATGGGTATTACACACACTTCCGTCCTTCTCACTTCCACACCTATAACACATATGAGCTGTGAAGATCAATTGTGCCCCCTTAAGCAGCCTCTCGGGGCCCTCAGTCCAAAGACTCAGAGCTTCCCTCTCCTCATCTGGCCAGCATCCCACTCCCTTGGGGTCTCCTGCTCCCTGCCAGAGCCAGATTGCCAAGTTCTCACCCCAGCTACACATCAAAGTCTCCATTTAAAAATGCTGATGCCTGCCCCCGTTGCCAGATATGTTGTTTTCATTGATACTCAATGTGGCCCAGATATGTGCATTTTTCAAAAGCTCCTATGGAGAGTCTAATATGCACCACTGGTCCCATCCAATCACCTCTGGAGGAACTTTGACTCAGAGAGGGGCAGGAACTTGCCGGAGACACACAGCAATTACCCGCAGGGCTGGAACAGAACTCATGTCTCCTGACTCCCAGGATGGAGTCTTTTCCATTTATTCAACAAGCATTTGCTAAGAGCTTACTGAGCGTGGGGCCCTGTACTAGGGCTGGGGGCACAGAGACAACTAAGGCGTGGAGAAGAGTGTGGCCCGGGTGTGTGTTGGAGGGGGAAGCAGGGGCCAGCTCACGCCCATCGAGCCACGAGCGCACTGAGGACGATGGGAGCCAGTGATCTTGAGAAGGCTCACTCTGGTTGTAATGAGAGGAGGCCGTGGGGAGGCTTACTAGGAAGCTTTGACCGGGGTGGTGGCAGCAGAGGTGGCAACAAGTGGGTGAATTTGCATCTCAAATCGACAAGCCTGACAGGACTTGGAGACGGACTGGCACTGGCGGCGAGGGTAACAGAGAAGCAGCCATGTGCCACATGCCCTCGTGTCAGGTTTGGGTGGCCAAGGGGATGGAGAACACGGGAGAAGCAGTTTGTGAGGTGGGGGTGTTAGGCTGCAGGGGCGGGAGGGGCAGGTGGACCCTTGAGTCTGGAGCCCAGGCTCTTCCAGTGACCCTCACGTAGAGGCACACGTGTGGGGCACTCACCACAGGCTGGCAGGTGGGCGCGGAAGTCAACAGGGAGCCCGTGGCGCCGGCACAGGTGAGCATAGTGGGCCAGCGTGGCACACAGGCAAGGCTGCCCACAGCGGCAGGCGTCCTGGCGGCACTGCTCAAAGTAGGGCACGGGGCTCAGGTACACCGAGCAGGGTGCAAACAGCTCCCCGGTGAGCACGCTGCAGGACTGCACCGCATAGGAAGCTGGAGACGGGAGGGACAGGGGCAGAGAGTGTGGGTCTGGTTTGCCTGGTGCTCCAGGCCCCAGCCTCTTCCTGCCTCCCCACAGTCCAGGGATCTGTTGGCGTGAGAAGGTGGGTGGGAGAGAGTGTGGGTGCACAGAAGGGATGTGAGCAGGGACCTGAGCGCATGGCTGGTTGGGAGTGGGTGGGTATGGTTTGGTCAGTCCAGGTGTGAGTCGGTGGCTGGCCAAGGGCATGGGTGTAAATGATTAAAGGAGAGCGAGTGGGGGCACCTGAGTGGCTCAGTTAAGTGTCCGACTTCGGCTCAGGTCGTGATCTCACAGTTCGTGGGTTCGAGCCCTGCGTCCGGCTCTGTGCTGACAGCTCAGAGCCTGGAGCCTGCTTTGAATTCTGCGTCTCCCCCTCTCTCTGCCCCTCCCCCACTCGTGCTCTGTCTCTGTCTCTCAAAAATGAATAAGTGCTAAAAAAATTGTTTTAAGAAAATAGAGGAGAGTGAGCATGTGTATGTGTGTTTAGTGCATTCATGCAATACATTCCATCTTGTGTGAGACATGAGTCCATATGCTGGGAGGAGACACAGGAGTGAACAAAACTGACAAAATTCCTGCCCTCGTGGAGCTTACAGTGTGGTTGAAGGAGACCATCACTAAACAATTTATACGGCAAAGCAGAAGGCAAAGACCTCGGAGAGTGAGAAAGCGGGGAAGGAGGTTAGCGATCGAAGGTGGGGTGGGAGGGGCAATTGCAATTTTAAAGCAGGTGGTCAGGAAGGCCTTGGTGGCAAGATGAAGTCTGAACAAAAAGTTGAAAGAGGTGAGGGACTTTAGTGAGGGAAGAGCATTCTAGGTGGAAGGAACGGCAGGTGTAAAGGCCCAGAGCAGAGAGCAGAGCTGGCTGTGCAGAAAGAACAGCAAGGAGGCCCGTGTGGCCGGAGCAGAGTTGGGGGTGCAGGGGGAAGGGCAGAGAGGCTAGGGCCTGGTGGGGCCACTGTGAGGGCTTAGACTTTTGCCTTGAGATGGGAGAGCCAGTACAAATGTGTGTCTACGTGGCAGTGATAGAGCATGAAGTTTCTGTCTGCCTGACCCTTACCAGAAGGGAACCACGGTCCCCTCTCTGCAGCTCCACCTTTTCTTATCACTCCTGCCCAACCCGACCAGCCTCCTCAGGCCCAGAGTTCCCATCTCACCCCTCTCAAACCAGTCCCACCTCACCCCACTCCCCCCGCCCTCTCCCCTCACCTCACCTGCTTGCAGGTGCACATCACAGGGGTCCAGAGGGGAGCCAGAGACCAGCGGGGAGCAGGCAGACAGAGTTTTCCATGAATTGCCAAAGAGTTGTGGGGTGCTCTCAGGCACACCCACTGGGGACCTGCAGTCATGGCACAGCCGCATTCACACACTTGGCCGTGTGGACCCAGGTGGACATACAGCATACACCCAGATAAGTATCTATCTACTCCTGTATACACACAGAGACCAAGCATGAGCACACACACACAGAGGCACATATGTACCCACCCAAAGGAGTAACACACATAGGCCTATATACAGCACTTGCACATGCCCTCAACATACATACACAGAGCACAAGTATCTGCCAAACATGTAAACAGACAAGAGGATCTACACAGTCACATTTAAACACATACAGTTATGGATGTGCGCACGTGCACACGCACACACACACATCATATCACATAACATCACATTTAACAGGCTCCAAAGGGACTCAAAACTGGCTTGGGGCTGGCCACACATTACCCTATCTTCACCACCCGCCCCCAGCTCTTCATGTCAGAAAGAGAGAAACAGGGACACCATGAGCCAAACTTCACTGGATTAAGACTTCCTCCTCCCTTTTCCATAAGCAGTTCCCAAAAGCTCCTTTGCACCCCTCACCTTTCTCTCTAGGTAGGAAATAGTCACACAAGAGGTAATAAAGGAAGGAAGGAAGGAAGGAAGGAAGGAAGGAAGGAAGGAAGGAAGGAAGGAAGGAAGGAAAGAAGGAAGGAAGGAAGTCATCACCAGTCTCCCAGAGTCACCAAACTCGAGGAGATGGTAGACTGGAGACAACATAGCATGCACGGGGTGGGGCAGGTTCTGTGTGACACTCAGCATGCCCGCACTACTGCTCCAGAGCAGTGAGAGCACCCAAGTTATACCCAGCCACTGTTCTGCCCAGAGTTCACATTCAGGAAGGTGGCAGGCAGCCCACACACTAAATCAGGGTCGTCTGTCCCCCACCACTCCGGCCAGCTGCCCTAACATCAGTCCCACCAGGCAAGACAGCAGAATGCTACATTTTTTAATGTGCATGCATTTAAAAGGTCTCAGTTTTGGGGCACCTTGTTGGCTCAGTTGGTCAAGCATCCAACTTCAGCTCCAGTCATGGTCTCATGGTTCGTGGCTTTGAGCCCTGTAATGGACTCTGAGCTGACAGCTCGGAGCCTGGGGCCTGCTTCAGATTCAGTGTCTCCCTCTCTCTCTGTCCCTCCCCTACTTTCTCTCCCTCTCTCTCTCAAAAATAGATAAACATTAAAAAAAAATGTAAAGCTCAGTTTCTTTTTATTCTTGCTTTTCTGAATGAATCTGAGTTCTCATTTCTGGCTGAAGATAGTGTCTCCTGTTTACTTCTGCATCACCTAATGCATGTCACTTGAAAAATTGGCCAGAACCTCTAGCCTTCAAGATCAACCCCTTATTCTCCTTTCAGGAAAGTCTGACTCTTGTCCCCTCCCAAGTTTCTAAACTGTATCCATGCTCAGATAGTCTTTCTGTCAACCTAGGAAACAGCCTTCCCCTGAACATGGGAGGCGCACACGGTGCAACCCTTAAGAACCAAGCAGGAAAGACATGTGGCTTAGACTGACCTGGGATAGAAAGCAGGAGTTTTGGAATCATTGGTTCACAGGGGGCTTATGCTCATCTAAAGGTGCTCACAGTCAATTAAAACAAGGAAAACCATGAACCAAATCAAACGCAGCCTGAGGTCCACCAATTTTAAGACCTCATTATAAAACAGTATTTCTCAAGGAATGGTCCACAGATCTCAAGGTATGGTCTGCAGATCTCTTACACTAGAATCGCAGTGGTTACTTATTAAAAGTAGAATTCTTGGGCCCCAACCCAAATCAGATACTCCAGAAGTAGAACCCAGGAATCAGCATTTTAACAAGCTCTCCAGGTGAGTCTTTTGCACAGAGAAGACTGTGGGCCACAGCCTTAAAGAAATACGCTTAAATTTAAATGCCGAAGAATAAATGATCAATGGTGCATGCGTGGCACAGTGAGAGACCAAGGGAGTTTGCGAAAGATGTTTTCAGGCAGTGCCTCCGGATACCCGGCCTTCCGGGGCCCCACCCTCTCCTTCTGCTTCCGGGCATGGGCACGTACAGGAAGTCGTCCTGCGTGTTGCCGTTGAAGGTGCCACAGAGGCCCACGGTGTCTTCCACCCATCGCTGGTCCACCTGTAGGTAGAGCCGCAGTCCTTGGCGGTCGTAGAGCACCCGCACGCCCACGTTGGTCCTCACCCGCAGGAACATGGAGGACAGCCTCCGGATCTCAAAGGCGTCTGGGCACAGAACCAGAAAAGGGATGTGGGAAGTTCTGCCAACATGCACCCACCCACCGCCACCACCTGCATGGTCCTCACTGACCTCGATACCCAGCACAGTGTTCACACCCAGTGAAGCCCTGCTAAGGAGTTAGTTTGGGAAGCCTTGAGGAAATCCTGTTCAGTGATGAAACAGAACCCAGAGACAACTGACCACGGCAACCTAAGAATTTTTTTTTTTTTTTTTTTTTTTTTTTAGCACCAAGTGCCAGTTAAAGCCTTGCCTGCATAAGGAACTGATATATTTCCTTCTGTAGCAAAGGAGAATTCTGTTAACTACCCATTTTTTTCACAATGGCCACCAGGAAGCTCACAATATGATTTTAGATTCAATTGTAGTGAAGTTTTCACCTCTTGTGGCATGCATTTCTTTGGCCTCTTTACACCTCTCCCCCTGCATCCCCACTCAATCTTGAACCCCTACTTTTTTTTTCTTATTCATTTTCTCTGGTGCTATTTTATTTCTTAATAGTTTTTGCATTTTTGTTAGATGTGCTTCCTTTGAGCTACCACTGATCCCTTGTGGAGTCAGATAGGATAATAAGTAATTACAAAATAAAACAGGGATAGAGAACAGCCTCATTCATATCCTTGTGTTAGGAGAAGGCATCATACTGCTGAGATGCCTAGTGTCATGTTGGGAGGGGGACAAAGACCATCTTACAAGTCCAGAGTCCATGTTCCTGGGACCAAGGTGCCCTCTGGCCCGATTCACCCAATGCTAAAATGTGAGCTCTTGCCCATGTGGCAGTGCCTTTGGCCAGAGACAGTGCTTGGAAGAAGAGGCCTGGGCAGCCAGCTCCCAGTTACTTCTTGTCCATGAAAGCCATACCATCCGTGTAGGGTGGGGTGACCTTGTACTGGTCAAACAGAAGGACATCCCCCGCTTGGGTCAGGGTCACCTGCCTCCGAGGGTCCTGATGCAGAATCACTGACACTGACTGGACACAGACTCCGTCCTGGTTCTGGAGAAAGAGGAAGGCAAATAGGGCAGAGTTTGTCTGTCCTGCTGTTCCCAAAAGAGGCCCCAAGATTGGGTATTCTAGTGCAGTTTGAGGTCAGAGACAGGCTGAGACGGAACCCCCAAAGGACATTAGGAGTCCTCTAACCAAATGCTCTCATCTGGGAATGGGAAGGCAGAGGCTAAGATTGGAGAAGGTTGGCAGAGCTGGGATAATGCAAATAAAAAGACAGTCAAGTCTTAGGCTATCTATGACAGAGAGCAGAGATAGACCCCCCCCCCCCCGATGGCCCAGAGTCTAGCCTCAGAAACACTGGCCTCCCCACTCAACTACAATACAGGACTTTAATTTCATCCTTTTACAGGTGTTTATATAGCTCTTTCCATGTGTCACATCCTGCAGAGTATCAAGCTCTACTCATAGGCAGGCAGGAAATGAGCTAATAATATCTGGGCCTCAGGTTCTCATCTCTGAAATGGGTAGTACACGTTGGGCCCATTCATACCTCCTTCCACAAGAAGACATCCATACAACCATACAGTGATGAACATGACAGATATAGTCCTGGGCCTCATGGAGAGTACATATTTGTGTGGGACACAGACACTAAACAAGTAATTACAAAGTTGGTTTTTAAATTACTGCTGAGATCAGTGCTACAAAGAGGTGTAGGGTGCTAGGAAAGCATATAGTGAAGGAACAAGATTTAGTCTGCAGAGGCAGGAAAGGTCATCCTTAGGGAAAGATAATGATGATGTAAAAATCATAACAAAACTCTTAGTAATACTATAATTTATTATAATAACAGCTAACTTTATTTTATTTAAAGAAATTTTTTAATGTTTATTTACTTTTGAGACAGAGAGAGACAGACAGACCTTGAGTGGCGGAGGGGTAGACAGAGAGGGAGACACAGAATCCAAAGCAGGTTCCAGGCCCCATGCTGTCAGCACAGAGCCTGAACTGGGGCTCAAACTCATGAACCGCAAGATCATGACCTGAGCCAAAGTTGGACGCTTAATTGACTGAGCCACCCAGGCGACCCTAATAGCTAACTTTAGAGTTACTATGTTCAGGTTACTATTCTCATCTTTTTTACATGTATTTACTCACTTAGTTCTCATAGCAGTCTTATGTAGTAAGTACCACTAACAACCTCACTTTGCAGATCAGAAGACTGAGGCACAGGAAAATGTGACAGTTGAGCTGAGATCTGAAGGGTACAGAGAAGGTAGCTGGGCAAAGAGAGAAGGCAGGAAGGGGGATACCAGGGATAGGGAACAGGCTATACAAAATTCCCTGACACAAGAAGTACATAAAAGTACATTTAAAAAGTACATCAAAGAAGACCAGAGGGCCAGAGCCCACTGAGAAAAGTGGTTTAAGGTAAATTCTTCAAGAGGTAGGCAGAGGCCAGCTTAGGCAGAGCTTTGTAATATTTTAGGACTTTATCCTAAGTCCAAAGACAGCCAAAGAAAGTATAACCTGAAAGTGATATAATCAAACAGCAACATGAGGAAAGAACTAGAACTTGAAACTTTTCAGGAAGGCATTATGCAACAAGCTACAACCTTTCTTCCAAGCTCCTTCCCAAGGAGACATAAAATCCCTGAAACAGCTCAAAACCATTGTGTCTAAAACATCACCTTCTTTGTCAAACCCACTCATCCTCTGGTCCCCTCTGGACATGTCATTGGTGCAGGAAGAAAGTCTGCACCTTTTAGTCAAAGTCTCAGGCTCAAGTCTTGATGTCACTGAAAGCTGAGACCTTAAAGACCTCATTTAAGTTACCTAAACCTCAGTTCTCTCCTTGTGAAATAGAGATAGGACAATACTTGGTTGGTCCTGCCTGATTCGATAGTGAGAAAAAAGTGTTCATGGAGGGGTGCCTGGGTGGCTCTGTCAGTTGGGCATCTGACTCTTGGTTTTGGCTCTGGTCATGATCCCAGGGTCATGGGATCAAGTCCCACACCAGGCTCTGCACTGAGTATGGAGCCTGCTTGAGGTTCTCTCTCTCTCTCTCTCTCTCTCTCTCTCTCTCTGCCCCTCTCCCCTACACACACACACACACACACACACACACACACACACACATACACACTCTAAAATTAAAAAAATTAAATTTTTAGGAAAGAAAATGTGCATGGAATACTTTGGAGGTTGCATTTGTCAAAGCCCAGAGAACTTTACAGCAATAAAGAGTGAACCCTAATGTAAACAATTAAAAAAATCATGGAGGAAGTCAGAGGATCCCAGGATGGAAGGCAGACTGTGACCAAAGAATCTGACTGTACAGCTATACAAAACTACCTCACTGACGGGGGTGCAGGGAAAGGTGTTGACCTAAGAAGCCTTGGAAATAAGTGGAGTTTGTAAGACTAAAAGCAAAAGAAACTATGCATAAGCACTGTACTCTAGTTGATAAAGTTCTTTCCCATGGAGGTATGGATTAATAATTCTGGTACTTCTATACATGTATACTGGAATTGAACAATTAGATAATTAGATGGAGGACAATGGAAACCATATTTCTCACTGTTGGAGTGGGTGTTTATAAGCAAGGGGCGGGATAAGCAAGGGGAGACTAGAATGACCCATGTGGCAATGGATTAGAGTTGGAACATCAATATGAGCTCCTTCTTAGCATATAGATATAGAGGGCTACTGATAGATTATCTATAGTTATGTGTATATATATTGGTTATACAAGGATATTCATAGGTTATACATATTATTTCCTTTTTCTATCAGCTGAGAGGATCTAAAAGAAATGATACCCCAGTAGCAATGAGCACACCCAGTACCCCAGATCTTGGTGTCTAATACAATTCTCCAAAAGGAGCCCAGAGCATCTGATAATACTTTTTCAGGAATGGCTGATTCCAGGAATGTAACAGGAAATATGCAAGATAAGCCTGGTGCATCTTATAGGACTATAAAATAAGGAGTAGGAAGCACACACACACACACACACACACACACACACACACACACAATGATGGGGGTATACCAAAGGGACCCAAGAGCCAACTGAAAGACTACCCAATGGTTCAAGCTGGAAAAATTTGAGTAACAAAATAAAAAAGGAAGTATTGGTTCTTATCCAAAGTATAAAATAAATATCCCGGGTCCATGCTGACATAAATAAATGATTGACAAAAAAAAATATGTCAAGGGAAAAAAAGACAAATTTCCTATGCAGAAAAATTCCAACTAATGTATGTAGATTCTCTGCCTTCAAGGAGAGGGAGCATAACTCCTTACTCTTTAACTGTGGGCTGACTTCTTTCAAAGAGAACAATATGGTAAGGGGGAAAAGAGGAGTAGCTTTACAGAGGAGGATTTGACAAACACTGCCTCAGCCAAATGACCAAGGTCAACCTCAATAGTGATAAACCATGTTGGTATATGTATCCTTGATAAGATGTGATGAAAATAGCAATTTACCTCTTATCTTCCTCCCCTAAATCCCTAACACCATTCTAACCATGGGAAAAGCATATAAATCCCAACAGAGGGGCATTCTACAAAATATCTGACCAGTACTCCTCAAAACTTTCAAGGTCACCATAAATAAGGTCTTAGTAAACTGTAACAGCAAGGAAAAGCCCAGGAGACACAATGACTAAATGTAATGTAGTATGTTGGAACAGAAAAAAAAATGACAGGTTTAAAAATAAATAAGAAATATGAGTAAGGTGCAGACTTTAGTTAATGATAATGTACACAACGAACATTGGTTCAGTATTTGTAACAAATGTACCATACTAATGCATGAGGTTAATAACAGGAGAAATTGGGTGTGAGATATATGGGAACTCTGTGTACTACCTTTGCATTTTTCTGTAAAATCTAAAGCTGCTCTAAAAAAATAAGGTCTACTTTAAAAATACTTCAAAGGCTATAAACACACCCTGATTTGGGGGTGGGTGTATAAGGAAGCTGTGACAGGCTTTCTGGACTTCCAGCCTTGGGTCTGGCTCAGCTCCCCCTCCTGCTGGCTGGGGGTCGTCAAGACTGCCCCAAGCCTCTGTTAGGCCTGTCTTATCAGATTTCAAATGGGGAGAATCTTAATGACCACTACGTGGGGGTATTTTGAGCCTTAAACTAGATGTCAAATGCAAAACTGATTAGTCAAAGTTTAAAGTACTGTGCAAATACTTTCTCATCATCATCCTCTCTATTAACATTCTCACCCTACCCACTTCTGTTCACCCGGGGTTGAAGTCGTGGCTTCACCTTTGACTCTTCCTGCTTCTCTCCCACACACCTGGCACTTTACCAGCCAGTCAGCCAGTTGCCATAGTCCTCCTGCATCTGCCTTAAGGTATTTTAGAACATTCCACCCTGTTGCTTTTTCTCATATGATCGAATCCTCCTGGATTGCCCTTCCTCCCCATCCTCACACATACATATCTTATTTCTATTTACATTTTTGGCCCAATTTTTAGGTCGTTCAGCTCAAATGTCACCTCTACCATGAGGCTTTCTTCTGACCTGTAGGAATATTTCTTGCTCCACAGACAGCCCCTCTGATGGCACTGCTCTTGTATCTCACAGAGAAGCAACTGACCTGAGGATGTGATTGACTCCCTGATTGGGCTGCAAGCTCCTGGTGGCTAGGACCAGGGGCTGACTCATCTGTGTAACCCTCACTGTGCCCAGCACAGAGCTGGCACAAGGCTGGCCCTCTACTGGTTCATCAGTGTGGATGAAGTCACAAGGAAGAGAACTGGCTCGTGGTAAAAGGAATGTGCTATCAAGAGGCACTGTTCAGGGGCGCCTGGTGGCTCAGTGGGTCAAACGTCCAACTTCGACTCAGGTCATGATCTCATGGTTCGTGAGTTCGAGCCCCACATCGGGCTCTGTGCTGACAGCTCAGAGCCTGGAGCTTGCTTCGAATTCTGAGTCTCCCTCTCTCTCTGCCCCTTGCCCATTCACACACACACTCTCTCTCTCAAAAGTAAATAAGCATTAAATAAACAAAAGAGGCACTGTTCAGCAGTGAAGCAAGTTACCTCAGGCTGACGCTGGCCAACAACCATCCAGAACATGGTGGAGAAGGAGCTGGTAAGGGATCCCCAAGGTCCCATAGCCCTCAGGTACTCAAAGACTCTAGAACTTTGTAAATGGGGAGGAGTCCCACTGGGCTATGTCTGCTTGCTTTGCTTTTTTCTATTGCCACTCTCAAGATGTGATGGGAGTGACCCAGCTTTTGAGGACAAGTATTCATTCTTCCAACTCAGAGAGCAGCCAAGGGCAGATCCAGGCCATTCTCTGGCAGATAGAGGGGAGGGGATCACTCAGGCTTCAAGAGGAAGAAAGCCCAGCCCTCTACCTCATCCTCAGCTCAGCCTGGGTCCCCAGGGCCACGGAGGGACACCTGTAGGTGATGTCTGCTCACCCTCCTGACGTCACTGGGTGTGGAAAAGGCAGGCAGGGAGCTGGGCTTTGGGGGCAGCTGCCCTGGCTATGGGTGTGAACCTTTTGTCCTATTGTGCAGGAAGGAGCTTGAGTGGAGTCCCAACCAGGGCTTGTGGGGTCAGCTCAGGGAAAATGCAGTCCCTGAGAAACAAACAGACTTGTAACTACCCCAGACCTGCAAGCTGGCCATTTTCTCAGTTATGTGCACAAGTGGCCGACACAGCTCAGGGATCACCTCCTCTAGGAAGTCTCTCCTGATCTATCCCTTCTCCCACCTGGCATCCAGGTAAAACAACCAGGAGAAGCTCCTACATGGAGACCTACCCTGTAATGTCCATGTTATTACAGCTCCTATAACATAGTGGATTATGCAGTGAGTTATCTGCTCGACCCACCAATCTGCGAGGCCCAGGAAGGCAGAGCCAGATCTAATTCATCCCAGTCTCCGAGACCCAACATAGCTTCTGGCACAAAAATTAGTTCAGTATTTGCTGAATTCATAAATGAACAAATGAGTGAATACAGAGATGTTGAAGGCATAATCCAAGGAAGCAGAGAAGATTTAGTTGAATTAGACCCATTTTAGAGATTTTTTTAAAACACTGAGGCCCAGGAAAGGGAATGGCTCTCAGCTATCAGATGTTCTAGAGACAGAACCTAGTCTCCTGCCCCCTGGCTCTGCCCAGAAAGAACAGACATCAGGGTGAGTGGGTTGTGGAAAACCTGGGGCCCTGCCCTAAATCCTTCAGCCTCTCTAGGGGACAGAGAGCAGGGGTGGCTGGCTGGATTGGGCCTGAGGTCCCCAGCCCTTACCAGGCCACAGGGGGCATTCTGCAATGTCACTGTGAAGGTGCCTGAGGAGCGGCTTTTGGCCAGGATGTACTGACACGTGGCAGGGAACGTGTACCGGCGGCCGTCAAAGGTGGTGAAATGGATGTCGCCAGTCACTGAACACTCGGCTGAGGGGCAAAGAAAGGTGGCTGACACATGGGAGCTGCCCCATGGGGACTGCCTCTGCCCTGCAGGCTCTGAGCATGAGGAAGAGACAGCACTCTGTCCTTAGGAATCAGGGCAGTGTTTGGAGCCCTGGCCTTCCTTTTGACACTCAGGCCACTGGGGAGATGCAGGCCTGTCCCCAGCAGCCCACCTGAAGGTAGATGCAGCCCTGCCCTGGGCATCTCCTTCTGACAGGAGACCAGGCCCTGAGCTTGGAGACCAGTCTCCATCCAAGCCCCCCAAGCTCAGGAAGGTCCTTAGATAGACCCCCCAAAACCCTCCCTGACAGGAGGCAGAACAATCCCTTAAGCAGGCAAAGCAGCTCTGAAGAAACAAAGTGGGGCAAGCTGAACCAATGGAACTGCAGGCCTGGCCCCCAGATCCTCCCTGCCCAAAAAGCTGAGAGACCAGAGGAAGGGGGTAGAGTCCAAGGTGGGGTCAGGCATACCTGGGCAGACAGATGTGCTGCACACCCACTTGCCCGCAGTGCATGTGCTGAAACACAGAGATCAAGGAGGCAAGTCTCACCTCTCCAGGCCTGGGATAGATGCTGGAGGATAGCAGGGTCCACAGAGCTCCTGTCCCCAGCCCTCAGTCTTCCCGTTTCTAAAATGGGTGGTAGAGATTCCCCCATCTCCAGGGGTTGGATTAAATGAGATCGCCTGGGACTCAGACATGCTGAGTTAGTGCCCCCATATTGCCAGGGGTCCCAGACCCCAGATGGATAGCCCTGGTGGAAAACCCTGGAAGTCACCGCTGCCCACCCCCACCCCCCCTGGCTGTGAACACAGACCAGGCATTGCAGTCTTCTTTCACCACAGAGCCAGTTGGGTACAGGGTCCCATGGAACTCACAGGGACATTCAGCTGGTGCCACGCAGTCCCCATCCTCAAAGATCAGCCCTAGGGTCACAGGAAAGGCCCACTTAACTCACTTCCACTCCTGTTCATAGACCATTCATGGCTGTCCAGGGCCTATGACAAAGATCCCTTTATCCAAGTTTTCACCACTGAACCCACTTTCAAGCTTTCTCCTGCATAAATCCTTGGCTCAGGCCAGATCTGAATCTCCTCTGGGCAAATAATCTCACCTTCAGACCTCTTCAGAGAACCACCTCCCCAAGCAACCTGCATGCTGATTAGCTTCTCTTCTCCACCTCCCAAAAGCCTGTCGCTGCATCTAGAACCAGTTTAGGTGCCATCTCCTCCAGGAAGCCTGACAATCTCTCCCCCGACTGAATTCCTATGTCTCTTCTTGTCTGAACCCCTGAGCTGATCCTCACTACATTATGCCTTAGACTGGAGCCGTAGGTATATGTGGCTTATCACTGCAACCAGATTCTGACCCCTAAAGTCAATGACTATATCTACATTTTTTTTATCCCAACGACCCCTGCCTAGCCGAATGGGCTACACGCTACAGATGTGTGGCAAATGTATACCCCCTCAAAACCAGTGCATTTATATCCCATACAAAACAGCATGTGAACGAATGTTTAAACAAACACATATGTGGTAAATGAACAAGTGAATGAATGAATGACTTGTTCTCATATATACACAGTCCCGATGAAATTAAATACCCTGATGAACTTCTCAAGAGCCACAGTTCCACCCCCATCCTCAGCCCCCTTAAGCCAGTCATTCATTTATTCACTTATTAGTTGTGTGCCCCTTGCTTCACTCATCCCACAAATAGGCATCCTCTGAGCCCCTGCTTTGGGCTCGTGCGTGCCAACCCAGGAAGATGCTGCCAGGCACCCGCTCCACCCTTAGCATACCATCGGGGCAGTAACAGCCGTCCACACAGGCGATCTCGCTGTCCACACAGGATGCCTGGGACTGGCAGGAGGCAGGGCAGCAGGCGATGCATTCGTTGTAGGTAAAGGCCTTCTCCTTGCAGTGCACGGCTTGGGAGGAAGGGAGCAGTCCATCCAGTCCCATCGGCTCTGCCAGGACACACCCACCCCCTACTCCAGGCCTTGGGGGAGAGGGAGGGAGGACTGTGATTTTCCTGTTCCCCTAGTCCCCCTGGGTAACCAGAAAGTTGGCAAGAGCCTGGGAGGCTCTGAGAACCACCCTCATCTCACTCTGTGGCCCTGGGCCAGTCCCTCCACTCTGAGCCTGTTTTCTCATCTGCCACATGGGGCCTCACGGCTTCCAGCTCTGACAACTGTGGTTCTAAGCAGGACAGGACGTTGAGCTGAGGCCTGATGAGGCCACCCCCAGCCTCAGGGCAGAGATTGTCTGAACCTCTCCCTGCCCCCACCACCAGGATACACCTACCACATTGCCGGAGCTGGGTCCTCCAATCCTGCAGGGGCCGCCCCGCCTGGGCACATGCTCGGGCATACTCTGCCAGCGCCCGGCACCAGGTGGCTTCATCGCCCACTGCTCTGTGCAGGGAAACCGAGGGTCACACCGGAGCCCAATCTCTCACCAGCCCTCCAGAACCCTGTAGAGACTGCCAGGGCTCAGGGCACGCACCCCTCCTTGTCCCACAGCTAGGAAAGGGAGACTGGGAAGGTATCTAGGTATACAGATGGAGGCAGGACACCCAGGTTCTAGTCCCAATATTGGCATTGACTTGTTTGACCCTGAGGGTGTCAGTCCCCATTTCTGGGCTTCAGAGAATAGGGAAACTCTTCTGCCCCACCTATGCAGATAAGAATTTCTGAGGTTTTGGAAGTACATCTGTCGGGGCCTGGGATTATCAGGCTCAGTGGCCCACATGCTGAGACCACCCGCCCCCCCGCCCCTCAGTACTGGGACAGGTCTCCCCACAGCCCAATACCAGCTCCAGTCTTGGTTGCCTACTCACTGGCAGAGGTCACTGGTACAGCTGGCTGTGAAGGGAAGAGGGCTGACGTAGGCATGGCAGGCATCAAAGGGGGGCCGCAGCAGCGCCTCGCACCGGTCGTACACACCCTGGGGAAAGAGCCAGGGGCCAGAGCTGGGAGCTGGCAAGGCCACTCACAGCCCTCTGACTTCACCCACCCCTACACAGAACCCCAATTTGAGGCCAAGGGAGAGAAAGAGGATGATGGAGGGAAAAGGGATGGGGCCATAGGCACAAACAACCCTGGGCTCCTGCAGCCAGTGACTTTCTAAGAGATAGACAGGAAACCTAAGCCAGACACTAGGATGAGGGGTAAGGGAAGGGTGGGGAGTAGGCATTCTCCCCAGGGTCCAGACCTGCATGGTTCCCGGGCTCTGCTGCAGACACGGTGGGCGAGGCAGGGAGGCAGTTGTAGGCCTTGGAGGCTGGTTGGGGGCTTGTTCCTGCCAGCTGTGCACAAACTCAGCCACATCATCGGTCAGCTTCCCTGGAAGGGAGAACTAGCATGATCACAGGTGGGTGTAACGGGGGAGGAGGGGGGTGCCGCACAGGGCTCTGAAGGAGGGCAGGTGGAGCCGAAGAGATACCAAAAGCGGACAAGGAGTTGAAGAACCCAGCCTCTTGGCTCCCATCCCAGTTTGCATTTCCCAACAGAGCCACTCTCCTGAAAAAGCTGGTGGTGATAGTCAAGAATACTCAAGAACCTGTAGTAGCTCCCTACTCTCCAAACTCAGGGGAGGCAACCAGTACGTGAGCCTGGACAAGCTCTCTCCAAGCCTCAGTTTTGCCCTATGTGAAATGGGCAAATAATCCCCCACCATGGTATTATTGCCAGGACTGTATGAGATGATGCGTGTTAAGTGTTCAGTATGTTGTAGGTGCTCAAAGGTGTCACTTCCCTTCTTGGGAAGGCCAGAGTCACCATGATTTGGCCCTGCATGCTTCACTTTTACTTCTTACCACTCCTCTATAGGTATCTTCAGCTCCCACGGGACCCTTTCTCTTCCAAGCTCTCTCTGGCCTTCTGCTCCTGCCCCCACCCTACACTCACAGTGTGTGCTTAATATCCTACCTAGCAAAGTGCCCTTTAGATCCTTACACAACCCTAGTAGGAGTGGTCTTTATGACTCTTTTACCCACAAGGAAACGGAGGTTGAGTGGCCACACACTTGGTAGGAAGGGGCCCTGTCCCCCCACTGGGTCTTTAGTACCATGGGTACTGCCCCAAGACCTCTCCCACCCTTCCCAGCCTGACCTCCACCCAACCTCCTCCCTACTTCCATCCAAACCCCTCGAAGGCCACTTGCCCTGCACCTCACCATAGCTGGTCACCAGGTCATCCTGAGGGTCGGCATTGTTGTTCCCACACAGCCCATGAGTCCAGCCCAGGAACTCTGGGCTCATCTTGATGTAGACGGCTGAGGCACCATCCCAGGCCAGCGTGAATGCTGACTGATGCCGCACAAGGACGTAGCCAGCAAGCCTCTGCAGACTCACGCTCCCCATCACATGTGGCAGTTGGACTCTGCAGGGCACAGCCCAGAGCTTCTGGGTGTTCACATCACCCCCACTCACCCAGTCCCGTCACCAAAGGACCCGCCAGCCCCACCTGCAGGAACCATCATGTACCCAGCGCCTGCCTCGTCCACACGCAACTGGTACCATGTGAATCTGAGGCCCCCACTTTCCCCCCTGACTTCCTGGGCATCTGAGGCCCACCATTAGGGAGAGATTCTTTTGTCTTCGGTGTTTAAAACTTGCTTTTTAAATTTGCAATTTCCCTGGCAGGGATAAACCTTAGAGTGTCTGAAGTTGCTAGATCCTTTCTCCTGGACGGGAGAAATGGTATAAGCGGACATTTACTTGTTTTGTGTGTTTGTTTGGGGCTTTTTTTGTTGTTGTTGTTGGGGAGCAAGAAAGGCATAAGAAGAGAAAGAGGCTGAGGGATATGGAAAACTAGGAGTGGAAGAAAAGATGGAGAGCCATTGCAGTCCCAACCACATTCCCAGTTTTACTGGGACGGGGTCTCCCAGCCAGTCTGGAATTTGGCAACTTTCAATCCACCAGAAAATCAGGAAAAGAAAATTAAAGAAGAGTCTAACCAGCCAAAACTGGTACCCAAAGATCCATATACCAATCTTTTCACAGGAGAAACACCTGGGCTTTCAGGTTTACATTCAGCGCCAGAAACCTTGGTTACCCAGTTTCCAGATTTGAAGCAGGAAATGACAATGGGAGAAGGGTCATTGCAGGAAGACCCCTTACCCCAACCCAGCAGCAACATGAAGTGACAGCAGATAGCAAAGGAAGGAAAGGACAGTGAAGACAAGAGACAAGAAAGGTTTCAGAAAGAACCATGGTCTGGACCATCTGGTGTGGGGGCAAAGAGTCCTTATTCCTCTGGTCCCAGGCATCCCTGATGTCCCAGCAAGATAAATAACATTGAAATGACCCTATATCATCAGAGAAGGGTGACAGTGTGCTTAATATCTATTCAAGGAGGCTTGAACTACATATGATCCATTCACAAAGATTCCCTTAAAAATGTGAAAGAAAAGAATTGAGCATGCTTATAGTGTTATACCCTCAACTTTATCTGGAAAATTCTGATTTGAATACCCACTGTCTGGGAAACCCACAGGGCCCTGAGTCTCCGAAAATCTTAAGGGACTCATCTTTCCACAAACCCAGCTGACTAGAAACCCAGCTGGCCTGCCAGTATGTTCCTGCTCTGATGGTGGAAACTGCTGTTTGTCGCTAGAAAACAATTTTCTTTAGGCTGGAGAAGAAAGGTACCCACCATCCCCCACCACTAGTGTCAGGGAGCAGGAGAGCTCAGGGCAGAAGGTGTTATAGTTACCTCACGCCTCCATGGGTGACCTCCTTGGCCAGACGGATCTCCTGCTCACCCGCAAAGAAGAGGCTGACAGACCTGGAGCAGGTGTAGGGGGAGGAGCCGCACTGCGGGTCATTGTGCACCTGATTGGGGAGTTCAGAGGCCAGTGTGCAGGGCTCCCGCTACAGACCTGGCCCTGAGCTTCAGTTCTGAGCCCAGTGGCACCCTGTGGAGCTTCCACTAACGCCGATACCCTGCCCCCAGTGTGCCAAGCACCTTTCCTCTGTGATGTCTCCAGTCCCCGCAACGCCACTTGACCAGGAGGTCAGAGCTATGATTATCTGCACCTCCCAGAGGCAGCAACTAATACTCAGAGAGGTGAAGTGATGAAAGTCACACACACACAGCCAGAATTCCAACTCAGGACTGAAGGTGAAATTTCAGGGCTCTTTCCAGTACACTGTGCTGTCTCCCTATTTCTGGATTTTTTGTTTTTTGCAATCCAGGTTTTCCCATCAGATTGAAAGCCAAAGTAAAGTATATGCTCACACAGTCTCACACACACACACACACCCCTCACATATTCACAGGGTACTCTCAATACATACACTATAAACACACTCCTACCAGGACCCTGGCAGGCACAGTCTTGTCCTTCACGGCACATATAGGCACATGTCACCCCTGTGCTGCCTGTCACATACGCATCAACTCTGTCCCCTCCTCAGACAAGACCCACCCCCCAAAGCCATAGGACCCAAGAGAGGGAGGAGAACTGAGGTCCCCAGGGCCTAGGGAAAAGTCTGAAAATGTTTCTTCCCAGTGTGGAAACTCTTCCCAGGAGTAAACCTTCCACTAGATTACTGTTAAATGTGTTTAAGCAGGCTGGAGTCATTTCATCTAGAAGTGGGGCCTGTGAAAACCACCTCACAGTCTAATTAAATTTTTCAAACTTTTGGACCATGACCCACGGTAGGAAATAGAAACGTATACATATATAAATAAAACAAAAGTTTTACAAAATAGTGTTTACTCCTATTCATGTGCAATGCATCCTTATAATATTTTCTTTCCTTTCTCTTTCTTCCTTCCTTCCTTCCTTCCTTCCTTCCTTTCTTCCAGTTGGGACTTATTAAGTTGATTTCATAATCCGCAAATGTGTGGCATCCCGTTAGTCTAAGTAATTGACACATACCCATCATGAAATGACAGTCATGAAAGATCCTGATGTGTGATACCAAAGCAGAGAGGGCAGAATTGCTCAGCCCATCCAGGGCATGGTCCTTGGGGCAGGCCCTGGGCAGGTCTATGCCTGAGAGAGAAGGACACACCCAGCTAGCAGAGGGGTGACACTGAGCACTAGGATTTCCCCAAACTCCCAGCCCGCTGGCCCTAACTCAGTACTGACCAAGATGCCCCTCAGCAGAGCTGGCTCCCCAAGTAGACTTTTCTCCAGATGGAGGTACTGACCAGTGCCTGAAGCTGATGCCCCACTCAACACAAGGAGCAAGCATGTAAATCAGGCCTGCCTGACAGTGAGTCTCAGACATGTGTTCATATACTAGACAAACTCTGATTGAGCACTAATCTGGGTACAAGGAACACCGAATGAGAAGACATGGTCCCTGCCTGGAAAGCTTATATCTGGTAGAGAAGACCAACCTGGAAACAGACCTTTGTGAGAAAAATGTACTGACAATGTAACAATGAATGCAGAACTTTGATTACACAGGGATTACACAGGCTCTCAGAAGAGCCCCTGAGCCAGCTTAGGTCAGCGCATCCAGAAGGGCTTCTTAGAGGCGGTAACTATGAACTGAGTCATCCAGGACCTGCCATTCCCTCTGAGGCACAGTGCTCTTTCTTATCTCAGATCTTTAGCACCCAAGTTCCCTTTACCTAGAACGTTCTCACATCCATCTTTTACCCCTGGGACCCTTCACTTGGCTAACTTCAATTCATTCATCAGTTCTCCACTTAAATGTCACTTCCTCCAGGAAGTCTTCCCTGATCATCATCCTTCCTTGAGGAAAGTAGGTTTCCATCACGTGCTCTTCTAACATTTGGTGTTTCTCCTCTGAAGCACTCAGTTGTACTTGAAATGATTCATTTGATCTGATGTCTACTGTAAGTTCCGTGAGGACAGAGACCACATCTGTGTTGTCGTCCATGAGGCCACCACCAAGCCTTGTGCCAGGAAGAGTACAAGTACGCACTTAATACCTAATGAGTGAGTGACTGAATCAGTCACTGGCCAGGGGCATCCAGGAGTGGGTGGGTGAGAGAGGACTGTGGGGCCTGCAGCTCCTTCCAGGTGTAGACTAACTCTCACGCGGAGAGCCCAGGCCAGTACAACCTCCAGAGCCTAGTGGAAACTTCTAGATGGGCAGGGTAGGGAAGGCCTCACCTGGACTGAGAAAGTCTGCCCCTCGGGCTCATGGTGCCCCGCCAGGGTATAGCTGCCCTTCCCAGAGAGGTAGTAGTACAGGCCATCAAATGTCTCCACATGGTGCTGTCCCCATGCCCGGCAGATGCTGTCCCGCTCAGGGCCGGCATTGTACACTGTGCCAGAGAAGAGAGAACCTGTCCATACAGTTGCAGTGGGCACCAAGCTAGAGGCCGGTGGGTTCCAGAGCTGGCAGAGAACCCCCACGCACACCCCAGCCCAGGACCCCCAGGCCTCAGGCCCTCAAGCTCTCCCTGTACCCAGGGCCAATCCCAGGGGTGGGATGGAGCCCAGACCCACCCATCTGGCAGCGTGGCCCGGTGGCATTGAAGCGTCTGCAGTCACAGAAGGCTGGGTACACACACTCGCCCCCGTTGAAGCAGGAGAACAAGTCTGCATGGGAGACACAGAAGGCACCTCCCCATTGAGCCGAGATTGGCAAAACCCAGTGATACAGCACCTCCCTCGTGCCAGGGCACCAGACCCAGCACTCCCAGAGCCGCCCAGAACTCAGATCCCACCACAGGTAGCCCCAACATTCCTCAGTAGCTAGCTCTAATGGGGGCACACGTAGGATGCCTCAAACCTGGCTGGCTGTCTCCCTCCCTGACAGACAGGGGGTGTGGGGTCTCAGAGTACCTGTCCTCAGCATGCATCAGCTGGCCCCCAGACACCCTCCACCTGGGCCTTCAGCTCCCTGTGCTAAAAGTTCCTGGCTACCAGACAAGGCAGGCAGACTGAGAGTATGGAGCATGTGGAGTGCCCAGAGATCTTCAAGTACCATTTTCTTCCCTTTCCTTATGCTTAGGGGAAGAGGCCTAAGCATGAACCAGGGAAGGGGGAGATGCCTCACATTTGGAATACAGTAGACAGAAAGGCCACAGAGGAAAAGAAAACAAAGTAGAGCAGAGTGTGGTGAAGGAAGGAGCCATGGTGCAAGACAAAGGGCCACAGACACAGGACAGGGTAAAGGTAGAGGCCACAGACACAGGGCAGGGTGAGGGGAGAGGCTGCAGAAACAGGGTGAAGTGGGAGGGGGAAATAACCACTTAACAAGGAAACACAATCTCACTAGCATCAGATAGTGTGAGAGAGAAAAGCCACAGGGCCATGGTCACAAGAACAGGACACTGCAGAGGAAGCTCTCCTCAGCCAGGAAGGAGAAAGCAAAATGGAGTTGGAGACCGGGGCTGGAAAAGGTGGAAAGACACCCCTTTCTGGGGAAAAAAGGTCACAAGAGGCCCTGAAGAAAGCCTCCCCTGCCCTCACAGGTTTCTCTGCGGGCCAGGGCCTTCCCATGGGCTGCAGGGAGGGGGCCACTTACAAGATGGTGCACATTTGGCCCGATGGAGCCGTCTTTCCCAAGAGGACATGGCCAAGGACTCCAGGACTTCAGCCCCCTTTTCAAAACAGAAGGAAGAGAACTCGGTCAAGGGCTGATGTCAGGGAGGGACCTCCTAGGGGTCATGCCCCTTCCTGTCCATCACCTGGAGGAGGAGACGCCCTGTCCCTCAGTGCCCCCAACCAGCCCACCTCTGTAGGCCCACTTCTGAGAGGTCTGGAACACAGAACCCTCAGGCCTGCCCTAGAGGAGTGAAGGCTGGTTTTTACCCTCCAAGGTGGCATCTCGGTGGCCCGAACACAGTTCCTCCGCTCCATGCTCCAATATCCCCCAGCCTCCACTCCTTTCTTCTCTCCCTCCCAGCCCAACACAAAACCCCCTTGTCTGGAGAACAAATACTCACCACAGAAACCACATGAGGCAGCCCGAGGAAACAAAGGCAGCCCCTCTCCCCAGGTCAGGGGAACATCTCGCCCCGTCCTCCACTCCAACCTTCCACACAGGTCACCACCCACCATCCTCAGAACTCAGCTCCAAGCAAGGACTTTCCCTGATACCATAAATCTGGGGAAGCCACAAGCAAAGAGAGCCGAGAAATCCTATCTTCCAGACCAGAAATCCCAACACGTGGTCTCTCAAGATATAAACCATCTGAAATTCGAACTGTTCCAAACATCAGATGTGTTCAGTCACCACACGGCTAGGTGACTTGGACACCTGACTTCCTGGAACCTAGTGTGAGGTGTCTCATGTCACCTGGGACTGGGGTCCTGGGTGCAGCAGGCTCCTCACCTCTCAGAGCCCTGGCCTCCCCATTTGTACAGCTTCCCAGATCTCATGTTCTTGTTCCCGGGGCCAACCAGGCACCAACCACACTGTGGGTATTTCTCACATGTCTTCCTCCCTCGTTGTCATCTCTGCATACTCAAACAGAATCCCCAGCCTCCGGCCAAGGACTCAGACAGAACCCTAGGTCCCTGGAGCCCAAGCTCAGTTCTTTGCTCCTCCTTGGCAGGCCCAGTCTCTCTACCTCATCCCTGGGCACTCCCTCCCTCCCTTTTCACCATCTTGCTAACCCCTGGAAGATTACCAGCCCCTCCCTGGCCAGGTTTCAGTGTTCTTGTCCCACATCGGCCCCTGGTTCCCAGGTCCTCCCTGGCTCTCCTTACCCTCCAGACCCAGCCAGAGCCCCAGGAGTCAGGCTTCCCACCGTGGTTGTAATCAATCTCACAGGGCCTCGGAGACCATGGGAAAAACGATCACCATCAGCATCCCATAGGCCCTGAAGAGCTCTTAATGAAGCCTGGTCTTTGTGTCTTTCCACTCCTAGCCCCCTCCTCAGATGTGGCTCCTGAGATCAGTGTTAATGAAGGTAAGATAGCTAGTGCTTGCAGTACAAGGCCATTTTCTGGAAAACATTTTAAATCTTGCCCAAATGATTCGTCTTCAGTATAGATCAGAAGTTCTTAATCATTTTGATGCCAAGGACCCTTTTGACAATCTAGTGAAGCCTATCAACCCATTCTCAGAATAATGTCTATAAATGCATAAAATAAAACAGAAGATTACAAACATACTGATTATATTGCAATACAGTTACAAAAATATTTTATAAAAATGATTAATAATATTTGTGCTTGTTTATTAATACATTAAATAGCAAGATAGCAGCAGGTCTTAACATTGCCAGAGTCTGGAAGTAGTGAGTTTACATGAGATCTGGAAATACCAACAACTGTAAGGTGATATGAAAATATATGTGATTTCTACTGGTGACAGTCACAGACACTGCTATTGCTGCATTGTGGTTTGTAGCCTATAGTAATAATTAAAGAGGATGCTAAATTTCAGTTAAATTGAGGATCCTGTGAATAACAATGTGAGTTTTTTTCCCCATCCTGGTCTATACCCTCAATTCTCTGGAGAATGGCTGAGTTCTACAGGAATGTGGCAGTACTGAAGTAAAGGTTGGCTGACTGCTAGTCTGGGACCTCCACCCTTACCGATGAGGTTATTCCAGGCAAAAGCCCTCGAAGGATCCCCAGGTTCACTTTCTAGCTAATGACCTCATTCTCCCACTCCCACTGAGTAGCTTTAAAGGAAGGTCATTCCAACCCCTTATTTGCTCTAAGGAATAATGTGAGAAACCTACTGGACTTGGCTGATCCAGAAACTTCCCAGAGGAAAACAGAGGGAGGCTTACCCTAGAATCTGTTAAGGAAGGAAGCCGGCCAGTGGAATGAGGTGCTTGGGTAAGGATAATTTTCCCCACTAAAACACAGGGATTCCTGGAGTTCTGGGGGGCATTCATGTTGTGGGGAAACAGTCTGGCTCCACCAGGAGACCTTGTTTCACCTGCTTTCGGGGGCCCCGGCAGGTCATCCTTGATTTCATCTTATATAAAAAGAGTAACAACATTGTCTTTCAATTCAAACTGCATCTGGCCGTGATTCTAAAACTTAGGGCCTGGAAAAGTGGGCAGACAGAAATAAAAAGCCTAGATAATCCACACCTTACAGAATAAGCATGCCATCCTCCTGCCTTGGGGGTCTTCATTCATTCCTATTTCCAAAAGACAGGTATTTGGGGCACATTGTTTTCTATTATAAACAATACTCCCCAACCTGCTGGCCAAGGAGCCACAAAGAGCTGATCCCGAAGGCCAAGGTGCATGAGTTGAGGTTCAAGATCCTCTGTGGGACCTGGCTATGGGTGGGTTGGATTTGTAACATGTCTGTAGTTGGAGAAAAGACACATGTAGGACAGGATTGAAAAGAGAACCTGAGTCGCCTGATCCAGAGACCAAAAAAAATTGGCAAAGGGGGAAAACAAACTACCACCTCTCCTGAAAGCATGGAGGACCCCAGGAGGGTGGGCAACAGATTATGGTGCAGACTCAGAGGATAATAGTTTGGGGCTCCCTTTCCCAACCAACCCTTCCTCACAAACCCCACCAAGTGGCCCGATTTTCGTCTCTCCTCTCTAGGTATCCTTGCTGAAGCATGGCTCAAGATATGGAGTGGGGCCTCTTACAGGGCTTTGTACTTTCCCAGACCAGGCAGGGAGGAGAGAACTCAACTCACCTAAACTCTCACCTTCTTGCTGTCACCCCGGGACGGGGGAGAGTTCAGCTACGTCCTGATTGCATCTTAGTGCCCTCCTCCGCAAACAAAACAAAACAAGACCAAAACCAAACTGAGCTGACTACAGGGTCCCAAGAGATTAGGAAAGTGGGAATAGAGCCATCTCGTAAATTTGCACACTTCAGGCGTATACTAGGAACACTGTTTGTTTCCTTCCAAATAACTGCAGAGACAACCTTCCTGCAACCTACAGAGCTCCCTGCCAGCCCCAGTCCCAGAGAGAAATAAGCCCCTGCCCAGTGAAGACCCCTTCCCCAGGCCTCCTCTTACCTGGCCTCCTATCACTGTTGTAGCATCCTCTATGGCAAGGGTCACCTCCTGAGAGCTGTGGCTAGATGAGAAACAAGTCTAACATGGTCGAGGGGATAGTAATGGGCCATACATCCCCACCACCTCCAAGCCTCCCCCCTACCCTCTGTGCTAAAACCCTGGGGTCATCCATACTAGAAACAAAGATGGGAGCCGCGGATGCAGCAACCACAGGCTTGCACCTACTCACCTGGGATCCCGGGCAGGCTCGGGCTGCAGCACTGGATTGCCCTGGGCTGTGGGTGCTGTGGGGGCTGCGGCTGGGAAGGGGGATTGCTTTCCACTCAAGCCAGGCCTCTCTTTGTTGGGTCTCCCACCACCTATCCTCCCACCTGCTAGGAAGCCTCTTCTGCATCCCCCCATTCTCTCTCCCTACGGACTTCAATCCTTTCTCCCTCTCTCTGGCGACCTCTCTTACAAGGGTCTCCTCCCTCTTTCCTCCTACTCTCTGTGCCCCAGTTCTCTCTAGCTCCCCACCTGGGGTCTCTTCCATCCTACCTAACTTGGGACCCATTCCCCTGGCTGTCGCCGGCCTCTTTTTCCTTCCGCGCCCCCTCCGACCCTCTCCTTGGCCGTGGCCCTGCCCTCCCTCAAACCTCTTTTTCCTCCCTCTCTGAAACCTCCCCAGGCCGGTTCTCCTAAAGGTTCTCCCCGGCCCCTGGCCTCCCCTAGCCCACACCCTTTCTCACCGAGAGCCTGCACCCTCAGGGACGGGCCCGTCGGCTCACCCCAGGGCAGCGAGACGCAGGCGAATAGCAGGCAGAGCGTGGGCGCGGAGCCGCGCGGGGCCGGGGCCCCCATAGGGGCGCAAGGGGACTGGGAAGCCTGAACGCAGGATCCGGAGCTCGAGTGTCTGTCCCGGCGAACGCAGGGTCACATCTCCACTCGGCGACCGCAGTCCCTCTCACTCTCTGGTCTGAAGGTTCCCCTGGCCCCTCCTCCCAGGCTCTGGGCTCCTCCCGGAGCTAGAGTGACAGGACTGCCCCGCTCATTACCATAATTTAGGCGCCAGATCTCAGCCCAGCCTTTGCCCCACGTGACCTGTGGCTGCCCCTCCCCAGGAGAGGCTGGATTCAGATCACTAAGCCTTAAGTCCCCCGGTGGAGCAAGGAGATAGCAAGTGCAGCCCCCAACATCCCTTACCCTTCAAAGATCCCCGACTCAGAAACCTGGGTTTTGGAAAGCCCTTCCACCAGACACCCAAGATGCTTGTGTGAGTCTGGTCTTCCACTCTCCTTTTACAGAAGCCCTGGGACATGCCGCTCGGTGGTCCGTTGTCAGTATCAGAATCAAACCTGCAGAATCCTAGCCTATGCTCCCACCACTCACCATTACAACTTCTTGGCTCCCCAAGTCCCTACTCTACCTGTTCTGAGCACCTCTAGGGAATGAATCATGACTTAGTCCTCTGTATGTATACTGTATACTAGTGCTGTATGTCCAGCACTAGTTCAGGCCCCAGCTCAGAATATGTTGACCGAATGACAGAAGTGCCTCACACTCCCATATTATTGATCCCATCAAGGCCAGACTTTAACAACAACATACAAAAACAAACAAATAAAAACACTTTAATTTTGAACAAGATATACTCCTTCTAAAAGGAATTGTTTAACGTTGGAAATGTGGGCTTGGCAGCCTTGGGAACCTGTGTATCTCTCCCTTGGCTAACTAAGTGTCGGAACACAAACCACATGCAAGTCTTGCAGAAATTATGATGATAATGGTGGTGGTGGACTCAGTATATAAACTTGGGATGCATTCATTTATTCATCCATTGAACAAATTTGTTGAGGATCTATTTCTTACCACACCTTGTTCTGGGAATATAGTGGGAAATAAAGCACACATCCCCACAGAGAGTATTTGGAGCTGTAGGCATAGATGAGAAGAGGAGGGAATCAAGGATGGAGCCTTAAGGAACCCTGGTTAGGGAATGGGTGAAGACAAAACTTGAAAAGGAACATTCACAGGAGAGGAGAGACAGGACTTAGTGCTGTCCTCAAAACCAAAAGATAAAGCATTTAAAGAAGGAGAGAGTCTGTGGGAATGGTGGTCATGGAAGACGACTGACGTGGCCAGTGGACTGCATTCCCCTTGTAAGGACATTTGCCACTTTGCCTGGATTCTATGAAATAACAGCCATATGACTTAGTTAACAGATGTAGAAAATCAACAAAGTAAGTTAGAGGAGAACATATTTTATGTGTCTTTCCTAGACCTTTGAAAATCCCACAAGTCTTCACCTTTTATCTCTGCCTTAACTAGTTAATACTAAGGTGAGAACATGGATAATATTTCAAGCTTCTTTTCCAGGAAGGATTTATATCCTAAAGTAGGCAATAATTTAGCTTAAATAAAAACAAGTCTGTTGACAAAGCTTCAGCCATTGGGGATAAGATGAAAAGGAGGGGGGTCTTTAGGTGTCCCTGAAGTTATGATTATAAGTGGTTCAGTATTTTGGGTTGCTGTCCATCTCCCTGTCCCCTGCTCCCTGACATGGTGCACACAGATCAGGCTCCCACCATGGGTTAAATCCAGGCACAAGCTCCAAGATTGAAGGTCCCACTCGCTCTCATTCACACCTATTTTTATCACCACTTTCCTAATCCACTCTTTCCTCTCAGTTTGTCCCAGGCTTGGTTTATCATTGTCTTTGCACCCCAGCCCTAGACCTAGGAGTTGAGCGAACTTTGGCTGAATAAATCAAATGAATCAGATGGGGTCTGGGCCCTGGGTAAAGGTCAGCAGTAAATCAGGATGTCACTTCCAGGCCCTTCCATGCCTCAGTGAGTGTGTGTGTGTGTGTGTGTGTGTGTGTGTGTGTGCGCGTGTTTGGAGTGAGGTTGGGCTAGGGACGTGGGATGGAAAGTTGGTTCGGGAGGGGCACTGCCACCCACTGGTTCAGGCCTCTGTGAGCCTCATAAGACCCAGACTGAAGGGATTCACAGATCAAAGATTTCTTCCTAATGGGAATAAGCCCATGGAGGAGGCCTTATAGAATTACGCTGGAGGTGAGATGCCTGGCAGTGTGTGAAAGCCTCAAGAGTGCACGAATGTGCCTCTATTTGCGCATCCATTGATTATCCCTACCCACTGATGTGAGTCTCAGGACCTCCACAAAAAAGTAGTCTGACCCCCCACAAAAACGTCTCAAACCTCCCCAGGCCTCCTGAGATCCTCTCCCTCAACTGCTTGTGTTTAGGGGAGCACAAGGTCTCACTGGCAGTGAGTGACAGGGTTGAGATTCTGTCTAACTCCAGTTCTGCCTAACTCCAGATAATAAACAACAAAACAACGCACATTTGTTGAAGACTCACTAACTATCACGGTCTATTTAAACTCCCTACACCCGTGTAGATTTCATTGAACCCTCCAAGGGGAGGGCCAGCATCGAGTTCAATCACCGCCGCCACCACAACATACACACAGTCGGGGACATTTGCTCCGGAGGGCGTCGGTGGGAGGCGACGAGCTTCCGGACAGGTGTTCTGGACGGCCCAGCGGCCCCGCCCAGGCCCCGCCCCTCCGCGCCCAGGCCACGCCCCCACCGCTCCCAGGGCTGCCGGATCTCGTTGCGGCTCCTGCCGGCTTGGGGCCGCCAGGCATCCGAAGTAGCGAGTTGTGTGGCGACGCTGCTATCTGGCCCAGCCATGGACCGGAAGGTGGCTCGAGAGTTCCGGCACAAGGTCAGAGCTTTTTAGGGGCCCCTAAAGCGTCCAGGACTCCGGAGTCCTGGACAGGGTGAGTGGGGGATTGTCAGACCGAGTGCCACCCCTCCCTTTTCCAGCCCGGACTTAGAGCTGTGGATGCACTGGGACCCCTGAGAGTCGTTTGATTTCCAGCTGGGATCCCCAGTGAAATAAGGGAGGGGACACTAGGACTCCAGGTGTGGGAACCCATAAACCGATCTCCAGAAAGTGCCCTTTCTCCTTCTGCTCTCCAAGGGTGGGAACTTCTCTGGGGTTGGAATTCCTTCCAGCCTTGGCCTGAGGACAGGATGCTTCTCTGACATGCCCCATAGTCAGTCCCCCCAGCTCCTAGTGCCCCAAGCTCAGGGCTGTTGGAGCATATGGAGAGGGTATGGGACAGTGTCTGAGAGGTGAGAATTGGTGGGAAGGAAAACTGGTCATCTCTCTCTGTCCTTTGACCTCAAAACATGAGTTAGAAGCACTTTAGGGAGCCTTTCCCCACTTCAGGGCGCCTTTCCCCACTTCAGGGCATATCTTAGAGCCTGAGAAGCAAGCCCCTGGCACTGACAAGGGGGCAGTGGGAGGAAGGGAGGAGGTACGGAGAGTCAGCCAGACTCTTCAGACGGAGCTATATCTCCCCTGGTGTGTCCCAGTAAGGGACAGCAAGGATGGTTCAGGATTCTCAGGCCCTCACAGAAAGGGGCTGGATTTCACCCAGGGTATTTCCAGAACTGTTTCCAGAGCTGTGTGGGAGTTGCTGAGGTCCTGAGACCAGAGAGGACCATTGGAGGTAACCCAGCAGACCTCCCCACTAAGACTTAGGATGCTTCAGAGTCCAAGGGTGAAGCCAGGGGTATCTGGAGCCACCCACAGGCTTTGCCTGAGGGACAGGTAACTCTGTGCCCTGAGGCCATCACAGAACCCGATGGGGCAGTGTCTTTAGACCAGGCCAAACCTCTTCCCAGGCCTGAGGGAGGAGAGCTCAGGTAGGCAAAGTCAGGGTGCTTAACCCCTCTCTCCTCACAGAGAGGCCCAGGGAGCCAGAGGAGCCAGCCAATGTAGAGGCCACAGGAGCTAAGGGCCAGGGGGAATCATTCAGTTAATAAATGTATTTGGAGTACCCACTCAGTGCCAGACCTCATCTGTGCCCTCACATTGCTGGCTGCACAAGCGGGAGGCAGACCCTACATTAATAATTACCCACGACTGGGTGCTGAGTGTTGGGATCAAGGTTTGGTGGGAGTACGAAGGAGGAAGCTCACACTGGCAGAAGTCTCCTAAAAAAGAGGGCTTGGGTATTCTAAGGATGAGAGATAGCTGGAAATTCAGCAGGAGTTTGGGGCTGGCAACTAGCAAGGGGAGCATGAAACTGTTCACCAGTGCATCCTGTTGTGCAGAGACGTGAGGGGAGAAATTTCAGCCGCAGGGGACATTTGGTGAGTGTGGATTTCAGGCAACCCACTTCAAAGGAGCACAGCCTCTCATCCCCACCGCAAGGCTCAGGCTTGAATTTCAGTTTCCTGCCCCTGAGCAGAAAGTAATGTCAGGTCCTCTTTTGCCTCTTCCCTGTGGGTACTATCTTTGCCTCTCTTTCAAGAGTTACCTATGGAGTCCCTGGTGTCTGACTTGCCCTGGAGTTAGCCCCTGTTTCTCTTCACCAGGGCCTGCAGGTTCCAAAGGACTTCGGGTCTTCGTGTTTCCATTGCCCTGCTCTTCCTCATCACAAGAGTCATTACCTATTTATGCCCCTGTGTGTGCAGGCGGGGCCGGCGCCATGTGGGCAAGGCCTAGGCTGGACTTTGTGCCCTGCAGCTTCCCCTCCCAGGTTGAGATCATCTAGGAACTAGGGAGAGAGGACAAAGCAGCAGAGGATACAGATGGGGGCGCACAGCCATACTGGGTGAAATTTACAGCTTCTGTTGATTGTTTTCTAGGTGTCCCTTCCTTAGTGCTGTAGTGCAAATTTACCCCTTGGGAATGGTTTGTAATGGAAATCTTTATCTGTTGGGAGTAGCACTAAAAGTGGTATATTGTCATGGAAAGTGCTGTGTGGCCTTGAGCAAGTTATTAACCTCTCTGTGTTTCAGTTCTTTGATTTGTTAAATGAAGATAACAATAATATTTACCTACTAAGGTTCTTGTGAGTGTTGGGTGAGATCTACACGGGTGTAGGGAGTTTAAATAGACTGTGATATTTAGTGAGTCCTCAACAAATGTCCATTGTTGTTGTCTATTATATGAAGTTGGGCAGAACTAGGGTCAAATCTCAACCCTGTCACTCACCGCCAGTGAGACCTTGGGCAAGCCATTTAATCTCACTGAGTTCTAGTTTCCTCGGCTATGAGATGAGGTTCACAGTGCTTACCACACTGGACAGTTAGGATTAAATAGGAATTCAAGGAATTCTACTCTGGACCTGTGGTAACCATTTGGTCCATGGCACCTGCAGATACCTGCAGAGCATCCTGTTGGATGAGCCAGCAGGCTCCAGGCTATTGAGTAGAGTCCCTTTCTCTGGGCTTGTGCAGTTTCCCAAGGACATCAGCAGTACTTGCATGCCCTTCCCAGTCACCACCTTGGGCCGGGATACCAAGGAGAGGGAAGGGGAGCATCAGAGACCAAGTAAGCCTCATCCCCGGAGAACCAGATTTTCAAAAGAAGGCTGTCCTTCTGCTCACTGTGCCTGCATGTTGGAGGAACTTGGTTACTCATTTGCTCAAAAAGTTTTTATTGCCTGTTCAGTAATCATTCATTTATGGATATCTGTAGTGTACCCTGCTGAGGCCAGGCCCCTGGGGGCAGGAGGAAGGGGATCAATAAGAAGGTCAGAAAGGCCCCCTGCCTTCCAAAGTTTTACTAATCATTCATGCAGTAAACATTGACTGAGCTCCTAATATATGCCCAACATTACTCTAACTATTGAATAATGAAACAAAGTCCCTGGCTCCTTAGTACACTCTAGTGGGGAAGACAGACAGTTAACAAGTAAACCAATACAAGTATCATACAATGCAAAGTAGTGATACATGTCATGGAAAAAATAAACTAGGATGAGAGGACAGAGAGCAACCAGTTGGTTGTCAGGAAGGCCTCTCTGAAAAGGTGATATTTGAACAGACATCTAGAAAGAAGGGAGGAAAGGAGCCATTCCAAGGAGTGAAAGAACTTGGAAGAATATTCCAAGAGGAGGGAACAGTAAAATACAAAGGCCCTGAAGCCTTTAGGAACAGCAGGGAGGGTGGTGTTTCTGAGAGGAATTACAGATTAAAGAGTAATGGGTGATGAATTAGAGTGGGGTGGGGGCCTGTAGACCAGGGTCAGGACTTCGGGTTTTGTTCTCAGAGTGATGAGAAGCCAGCAGGGGAGTGACACGACTGCCTTGCACCTTACACGAGGGATTGTTCTGAGTGCTGGTAGAGAGCAGACTGAAGGGGCCAGGCGTGGAAGGGGGACCCCAGTCAGGAGGCTCCTACAGCAGCCCAGGCCAGAGGTGGGGGCTTGGACTAGCATGAGGAGCAGTCAGACCCCGGACATGAGAAAAGGTAGACCCAGTGGGTTCTGGTGATGGGTGGCTGTGGGTGTGGAGAGGGAGGCATCAAAGGGGAGTCTACATTTTGGGAGGAGCAGGTTGGTGGGGACAAGATGGGAGGTGGTGGAAACCAAGAGTTCCATTTTGAATGTTGTAAGTTTGAGATGCCTGTTCAAGCATTAAGTAGAGAGGTGACAAAGAAGGCCAGGAGCTGTGGGAGTCTGAGGATGGGGGGAGAGGTCTGTGCTGGAGATAAGCTGCAGTGAGTCCTTGAGGAATAAATGGTAGCTCAACCTCTGAAACTGATGAGGTGACGTAGGGACACAGTGAAGAGGAAAAGAAGACCCAGGACTGCACCAGGGCACCCCAACCTTTGGAGGAGAGGAAGAGAGGAAGGAACAGCAAGTGAGGTAGGAGAAGCAGGGGAAGAGGGCATGATCAGATGTGCCAAGCACTGGGTCAAATGCCACCAACTAGGGGCGCCTGGGTGGTGCAGTGAGTTAAGCATTCAGCTCTTGATCTCGGCTCAGGCCGTGATCTCATGGTTCATGAGTTTGAGCCTTGCACTGGACTCTGCACTGGTGGTGGGGAAGCCTGCTTGGGATTCTGTCTCTTCTTCTCTCTGCCCCTCCCCTGCTTGTTCTCTCTCTCTCTCTCTGTTTCTCTCAAAAGAAATAAATAAACTCTAAAAAATTTAAAAATGAAAACAAATGCCACCAACTAGCCAGCAAGACACAGGTGTCTTGAAAGGATGAAGAATAATAAAACAAGAACCAAATATACCCAGTACTACCCAGGGGTAGTGCTCTGAAGGCCTGGGGACAAGTGTGGCTGGATCCATTCATTCCAGCAACATTTATGGAGTGCCCACGGCCTGCTAGCTGCTGAGAATATAGAATCTGTGTTCATTTACTTAGTTCTGGTCAACAAACACTTAGCACTTACTATTTGCCAGGTCCCGTGCCAGGCATTAACTCAATGAATAATAATAAAAAAAAATGATTAGGGTCTCAAAGAAGAAATCCTATGAAATAGGTGCTTTTATCCCCATTTTATGAGGAAACTGAAGCCCAGAGAAGTGCAGAGTCAGCTGGGGAAGGGGCTTGTTGGCCTCACCCTGCCACATTCCTCCCAGCCCCGTGTCTGGGCCACACACAGATTAGTGGGGAGACAGGAGAGTAAAGAGAGAATGTACAACACAGCTTGGTGAGTGCCGTGGCAGGGGTAGGAACTAAGTGGTGTCACGTGTGCAGAATGACAGCACAGGACTTGTGGGGTAGCATGAGGAGAGGTTTGACCAAGGAGAGCTGATGTTTGAGGCATCTTAAAGGTGGAGGAAGAGCTCACAGAGAGAAAATGCTGCTGGTACTAACACTGCTAAGAGCCAATGTTTCACACCGGCCAGAGTTGAGGCAAGAAGCGTGTGGCTTATCCCAACGGTTTCCCAAATGGGAGACTAAAGAGAGCTTTACGAAGGATGGGCAGGGACGCATGAACCCACAAAGTGTGGTGACAGGGCCTGGGAGCAGCAGCAGGAACCCAGGTGCTCCTGAAGGGGCAAAGGAAGGGGAGAGCCATGGCTACAGGCAGAAGCTCAGAGCTGCTTGTAAGGTGATGTAGCAGAGAGTGTGAATGGGGGAGTCAGAACCCCATTTTCTCTCTCCTCGGGCCCTCACACCAGCTGGGTGTCAGAGGGCAGGGAGCCCAGGCAAAGCGTCCTGGGACACAGGGCAGTGTGGAGAAGGCTGCAGAGTGGGTCTGGAGACAGAAAGGAAGAGACTCAGCACATGTTTCAGAGTCCTCAAGATTTGGGAGCCCTGGGCACTGTTCTAAATACTTTGTGTATATTCGCTTATTTAGGCCCCACAACAGCCTGAGAAGGGCAGGTGTTCGTTGAGTGGAACAACATGCATTATTTAATTTGCTCTTGCTCTCTTTCTCGGTCTTTGGCAGGGTGCACACGTGGAGTTGTATTTGCATGAGCTGAATGTTGTTTGCTTTCCCTGTGCAGCTCTCCTGAAGGGTCAGTCCATATGGAGGAATGCTGGGAGATGAGGCTGGAAAGGGCCCAAGGCTAAACGCAGAATTTGCCTCAAGGGCCCTAGACAGGGGGCCTGAGCCCCCCTTCCCCCTACCATACAGACAGATAGCAAAGAGTTAGTTGAGGATCAGCCAGAGAATGCTGATGCAGGATGGAGGAGACCAGAGATAGGTGGGCCGGGAAGGAGGGATTGATGTGATAAAGTATTTGTAGATGCTGGGCTCCTTTGGGGTTTCTGTGCCCATGTCAAGAGAGATCCAAGAAAAGGAAAAGATTTTTAAATCTAATTAGAAAAAGATGCAGTGTCTTGCACACAGTAGGTGCTCAGTAAATGTCTGTTAGACGTATGCATACAAAAAGTTGTATCCGGTAAGTGGATACTATGTGGTGGTCAGAAACAAAGCAAAGGTTTTAGAGCCAGCTGGCATACGTTGGAGTCTCAGCTCTGCTCCTTCTTGGAGCATATATTTTCTCATCTCTCAAAGGGGGTCAGCCAGAGGTTTGTTAGGAGGTTAAGAGAATTTACGTAAAGTTCCTAGACATGGTTGGCAGTCAGTAAGCAGAGTATGACCTGAATGAGAGAACAAGGAGCAGTCCAAGGGCCGAATTCAAGGAGCCCCTGTTCCAGGGCACTTTGTGCCAATGTCCTAATACCCTGCGCTCAGTGGAAAGCACCTGGCATGCAGTAGATCCTCGACAGCACTGTGCCATGCAGAGGTGTGCAGTGCCCAGAGGTGTCTACTGAATGATGAATGCACTCCAGTTGCTCTGGTCTAGCGCCTTCCTTCTATCCTCTTGGTCAGCCCTGGGCCACCGCCTTCCCATCACTCCTCAGCACACATCTGCCACAGCCTCCTGGTTCTATCCCTCTTAGCTCAGTTCCAGCTCATCACGAAAGAGTAGGTCACAAACTGGTGCAAGATGGACTGTCCTGCCTCCTCCCACCTGAACCCTGCCTTCATTTAAGGGGAATCCAAGCCTCCTCTTGTAGAGTCTTTCCTGACCATGCACAGTTCAGAGCCTCCTGACCCGCCTCCCAGCTGGAAGCTGTTCTTGCCCTCTTATTCAGTCTTGGGCTAAAGAGAGAGTCAAGGATACAGCGTGTAGAGATTCACGCTGAACTGTTCCAGGGAGTGGAATCTGGGGCTTCTACCCACCAGTTCCCCTGGGATTGAGGTGCTAATGAAACAGCTCCTGACCCTGACCTTGGAGTCCCAGCCATTGACGTCAGCAAAGTTGAAATGATGTAACTTGACTCTCCCCCTGGAGGGGGAGGGGAAGTGAGGGACTGAAGGGATGTGGAGAGGTGAAGGAGTAGCCAGGAGGCTGACTAGGCAGGGCTAGCCCAGCCTAGGCCAGGACAGGACAAGGCAAAGTTGCCCCTGGCATTGGTGACAGAGAAGAACGGTAGGGTCCTTCCAGCGGGTAGGATGTGCTATCTGAGCGAGTGGCCCAAATCCTTTCTGAAAGCAGTTATCCGGTACTACAGTCACCATCAGGTAAGACACTGGGCTTCTTCCAGACCAGGGATCTGACACTGGCATTGCCATTCTGGACTCTGGTGACATAGCCATGGGGTGAGCAGTAACACTGCTGTCATGGGAGTGCATCACGGTCACGCGGAGGTTCATGTGTGTGCATATGAATGTGTGTACCTGCCTGGGGATGAGGTTCAGCCTGGCCACATCTGGATGTGCAGAGGTACTCCTGTGGCCACTTTGGGGTGATCTGCATGCGTCTGATGTGTTACGGTCAGAGGGCCAGCCTGGCCCCTGGCTGCCCTCCTCTCACAGCCCCAGCCCTGTGGAGGTGCTGAGGAGGCCCTTGGCAGTGGCCTCCCCCTCCCCGGGGTCTGCTATGGGAGTGCTGGGCCTGGGGTTATAATTCTGCCCTTGGGTTTTCTAGGTGGATTTTCTGATTGAAAATGATGCGGAGAAGGACTATCTATATGATGTGCTGCGGATGTATCACCAGTAAGTGTGCTGGGTCCAGCTCCCATGGACCACCCCGGGGTACCTCTATCTCTAGAGAGCCCTGGGATGGCTTGTTCTGAGAAAGGAGGACCTCCCCCTCCCATCCTTGGGAGCTCTGGGAGGGAGACAGATGCTCAGTGCTCCTGGGAATCAAATGGACACACCATTCACTTGCCTTAGCAAATGTTTACACAAATACTCTGTGCATGGCTCTGTGCTAGGAGCTGAGGGCACGTGAGTGAACAAGACAGACCAGTCACTGCCCTCAGTTTGCTCACAATCCAATGGATGAGGCTATCAAGTAGCCAGAAAGGTTCAACAGAATGTAAGTGCTGAGATAGAACAAGAAATGCCAGCTGCCCCCAGCTACACATCAGATGTCACTTGTTTCTTCATCCAGCATACATTTGTAAGCTCCTACCACTTGCTGGGTACCAGGCAGAATCTGGAAATGAAAAAGATCTAGTTTCTTTCTTTAAGTAACTCGTGACTCAGTGGGGGGAGTATACAGACACTACAACCACAAAGAACTCCAATATAAGTCACAGCAGAATAACTGCCAAGGTGAAGTAAAAGCAGGGTGAAGAAAGGAGCTTTTGCTTCTAATCATGGCAGGGAGGACCGGGACGGCTTGAGCTAGGTTTTGAAGGGTAAGAAGGATTTTGATAGGTGGAAATATCGGAGAAGGACATTCCAGGACAAGGGATCAATATGAGCACAGGTGCAGAGACATGAAAGCACAGGGAAGTGACAGGTAATCTGGGGGAATAGAACCCAGGGCACACAGAGGCCATGAACAGCCACAAGCCTGGAGTAGCTCCACGGAGACAGGCCGTGGAGGCCCTGAGTCCTTCAAGGAGAATGGATGATGTCCTCTGGGCAGTGGGGAGCCATTGAAGGATTTTGAGAAGGAGAGTGACTTACATTTAGAAAACATTAGGTGAGAGTGAGCAGGTTGGCTGACAGCTAGAGAGGAGCAGGCCAGAGATGCTGAGGATCTGAACGGTGTGAAGAGGAGTCATGTGAGAGATACCGTGAGGGCAGACTTTATAGAGCTTAGCTGCAGATTAGAAGTGGGGTATGAGAAGGGTCACCAGCATCTCGCACGAAGCTTCCTGGCTGGGAAGATCCTGGGCTTCAGAATTAGGCAGAGCTGAGTCTGAATCCTGGCTTAGAGTTCATCTGTGAGGATGGGTTAACGATCCCTACCTCACCCCTGTCCTTGTGACATTTAACGTGAAAGGACAAAGCTCTTCTGAGGCAGCTGGCCCAGAGTTAGGGACTCTGGGATTTTCAGGAGCATTCTCCCCATTTCCAAGGCTTGGACCCAGTGGGTGGGGACCCTCTGGGAATCCTTGGATGTCACCCAGGCCATGGGTGAGGCTCCAGGCATCCCCCGTGTCTCCGCAGAACCATGGATGTGGTCGTGCTTGTGGGAGACCTGAAGCTGGTCATCAATGAGCCTAGCCGCCTGCCGCTGTTTGACGCCATCAGGCCCCTGATCCCACTGAAGCACCAGGTGGAATACGACCAGCTGACCCCCCGGCGTTCCAGGTATGGAGGGAGCTGCCAGGACAGAGGCAGGGGTGGGAAGGGTCACGTGGGATGGACAGGGTCACTCGCTAGTGGATGGGGCAGCACCGAGCCATCACTGACCTCTCCTATGGCAGGAAGCTGAAGGAGGTGCGTCTGGACCGTCTGCACCCTGAAGGCCTCGGCCTCAGTGTTCGTGGGGGCCTCGAGTTCGGCTGTGGGCTCTTCATCTCCCACCTCATCAAAGGGGGTCAGGCTGACAGTGTCGGCCTCCAGGTGAGTGAGCAGAGTCCAGGGGAATGGAGGGTCAGGGCCTCAGGCTTCCTGTCTCCCCTCTGACCATGGTCGCCTCACCTTTCTGAGACTTTAGGGGAGGAAAGTCTCCTTTGGACTGTCACATCCTGACAGATTTTCCTCGGCCCATAGACATCAGGCTGCAGGCAATTGCCGGTTTTCTTCGGTCAAGCTGGGAACCTGGATACTGCCCTTCACCACCCACCCCACTTCCCAAAGGAAGAGCATAGTTATGTCCTAACACCTGAAGCTTCAGACGTGTAGCCTTTTACTGGAAGGGTAAAGGAAATCCCAGTGTAGTACGGTGCTTAAGAGCATAGACCCTAGAAAGCCAGACTGTCCTGGCTTTGCTATTCATTGGCAATGGAAATATGAGGAAATTACTTAACCCCATGTCTCAGTTTTGTTATCTGTAAAATGGGGATAATAATAATACTCCCTACCTCATCAGGTTGTCGTGATACAAACAGTCACAGCCCGTAAGTGTCAGAGTCAGGATTTGAAACCAGGTCTTGTGTCTGCCAAGCCCAGGGATCTCTCTTCGGCACCCCAGGTGCCTCTCCCTTGGGGTCCCACACCTCAGTGATCTCCGTGTCCGAGCAGAGATGGGCCGACCTCCAGGTCTCACTCCTGCTGGAGCACAGAGCTGTATTTTGTGTGTCCGCATCGAAGAGGCCCTCCCACTGCCTCCCAAAGCTGCCAGCATGTTTGTTATCAGGCTGCCAAGACAGGGGCTTCAGGGGTCTCCAAGACTTATGGTACAAGGCCCCATGGAGAGGGAGGTGGAAAGTGGGAGCTGACAGACATTGCTTTGTTCTAAATCCCTGTCTCACGGCTCGCCAGTGGCGGCTGAAATTTCAGCCACTTCATTACTCCGCTCCTGTGGGGCACATTTTCCAGCCCAGAAACACAGCCAGAGAAAAAACATAATGAGCTCCTCTCTTGGCATCGACTGAGGCCCTCTTTTTTTCCAGGGTGAGCTTTCCTCTTAGGACAAGCATTTCTCAACGATGCTTCCATGACTGGGGACATCAGGGCATTTTAATGAAACTTAGAGTTTTACCTTCCCACCTGTTTCTCAGGCTTATGAATTATCTTCTCTTTCTTGGGCTGACGGGCTCATCTGTCCTTTGTGCTGCTGTCCCTCAGATCGTCATTTCATTGTGGGCCTTGCACAAAGGGCCTTTTGCAGGGCTCCACGCTGGAGCGGGAGAGAGAGGAAAGCTGATATCGCAGCCTGTATGGGAATCATTCTGACTGGGGTCCTAAGCAGGTTCCCTTTTGGAACAAGAGAGGGAGCCTCACTCAGAGGAGCTTGGGGAAAACGTCCACATCCATTCACCTGTCTGGGGTTCATGTTTCTGGGAAGATCTCATGCCTGAGATCTGAGGACAGGAGAAGATTCTGGAAGGCAGGGGAGGGGCATGTCCAGACTGGCTGGACTGAAGGCCCTGCTGATTTGACCTGTGAGGCTGGTCCCCAGGTGGGGAACTTGGACCCATTAATGGGACTCAGCCCTGGGACTCCCATCTCTCCATTCTTGTCCACCTATTGGACATATTTTAATTTATTTATTTTTTAAGTTTACTTATTTATTTTGAGACAGAGAGACAGCAAGCAGGGGAGGGGCAGAGAGAGAGAGGGAGAGAATCCCAAGCAGGCTCCGTGCTGTCAGCACAGAGCCTGACGCAGGGCTTGAACTCACAAACTGTGAGGTCATGACCTGAGCTGAAACCAAGAGTCAACGCTTAACCAGTTGAGCCACCCAGGAGCCCCATATTTTAGATCTTTCTTCAAATGTATCCTGTCTGAACCTATGTCCTCTTCCCTGCACAGGGCAGCCTCTGCTGCACAACATGCTGTATAATCCAGGGCTAGAGAATGATTCTGTGTGCCTTAGTTGTCCCAGCTGTAAAATGGACAGAGTAATCTCTGCCTTTCCTATGGGACTTGAGATCATCTGTGACAGGTGGCAAGAATCCAGAGAGGACAGGATGCAGGGAACTGCAGTCAAGCTTGGCCAGGTGCCCTTCCTCCCTGCTTCCAAATGCCCAAGAGACAATGCTTGTTGTCTTTGTGGGAAACCTGACTTCAAATCCCAGGAACACTTTTTACCCACCAGCTGACCTTGAGCAAATCCCTTTATTTCTCTGAGCTTCAGTTTCCTCATCTGATTAATGGAAACACAGAGTCATTATAAAAAGTGGGTGCAAAGAACTAGACCAGCTGCTCTCCTCACATGAGATGTCCCCAGAAATCTAGAGAGTTCTTTAGCGAGCCTCTCCCTGTGACACCTTTTCAAGCCCCTTGCCACTCTTGTCAGGCCCCTGTGAACATTGGGGTCTGTGTTGAGATGTGGAAGGGAAGCATTCAGGTGGCAATATTGAGAAGCGACTCTGTAATGATGTTGTAGAGGGTGGAAGTTGGCCTAGTGAACCCCTCACAGGCTGTGGGCCCGCCCAGCTCCCAGACCCCACAGAGTCAACTGTGTCTCCCACATGTACCAACAAGTCCCCAAAGGGACAGCACATGTGGTGTGAGTTAAGCTGTCAGCTGAGTTGTGCTGGCCTCAGGCTAGAAAGGGGCATCCAGGACCCAGTCCGTGTTTTGCAGCTAATGGCTGTGTGACCTTAGACAAAACATCACCTCCCTGGGCCTTGATTTCATGTGATGTCTAAGGGTCCTTCCAGCCCCACAGTTATTTTTTTTTTTAATGTTTATTTATTTTTGAGAGGGAGAGACAGGGGATGAGCAGAGAGAGGGAGATATAGAATCTGAAGCAGGCTCCAGGCTCTGAGCTGTCAGCACAGAGCCTGACAACAGGGCTTTGAACCCACGAACCATGAGATCATGGCCTGAGCCAAAGTTGGGCGTTTAACCGACTAAGTCACCGAGGTGCCTCCAGCCCCGCAGTTGTTAAGTGAGGAGCTTCAGGACTGACCCCCAGAGCCAAAGTGCTTAGAGGGGCCCACAGCAGTGGTCTAGCAGGGGATGAGCTCACCACAGATCTGTATCCAAAGGCTGTCCCTGCAGGCCTGCGAGCCCCTGTCTCTCCCAATCAAATGAGGCCCAAGGTCCTGCGAACAGGGCAAGAATCTTTAGGGCTCAGGCCCAACTAATGGTAACAATTGTGACCATTGATTGATTACTGTCCAATGTGCCAGGTGCTGGCTGGCTTTACATGGACCTGCTTACTTAATTCTCACAGCTGCCTGGGCATCTCCCCATTTTACAGATGAGAAGAACTAAGGTTCAGAAAGTTCAAGAGACTTGCCCAAGGTCCTGTTTCCTCTTCCGAGGACAATGTTCATGGGTATTCCGAATGGTCTAGCATTTGACATACCATCGTAGGCTGTCCTACAAAACAGCCTCTGATGAAGCTGTCCCGAACCTCTGGCAATAGAATCATTTACCTTTAGACCAAGAAGGTTGGGAAGGCACCAGACTCCACATGTGGCATGTGCCCAGGCCAGCTTCAAGGAGCTCGTGCTGTGACGCCTACAGTTCTTCCAAGGTTGCCTAAAGTGAAAAAACATGTCAACAGGGCCTATGGTGGTTCCCTGTGTGCTAAGTGTGTTCATGACAGGATCAAGCATGCTTTCCTTATTAAAGAGGAGAAAATCGTCGTGAAAGTGTTGAAAGCACAAACGTAGAGTCAGAAAGCTAAATAAAAAAATGAAGATTTTCTTTGAGTAATAAAAATATTTAAAAAGAGAGAGAGAGGGAGACTTACCCGAGGTTGTGCAGCAAATAAGAATAGAAGAAGGGGGGGGGTTGGGGGGCACCTGGGTGGCTCAGTGGATTAAGTATCCCACTCTTGATCTCAGCTCAGGTCTTGATCTCAGGGTCGTGAGTTCAAGCCCTGAATCGGGGTCCGCACTGGGCATGAAGCCTACTTAAAAAAATAATAATAATGATAACGGAAGCAGAAAAGAAACAAAATGGAAGCAGGAGTTTGAATCCAAGACATCTGATGCCAAAGCCTTGTGTTTATTCATTCTTCTTTGCTTACTCCAAGTGGGAATTCAGAGGTCAGGGCTGTGGCAGAGTTAAAATGCCCATTAAGCTTACATAGAGTGGAAAGAAAGATATTGTGTGTGTGTGTCAGTGATGTGAACTTGGGTCAGGAATCATGGAAGTTCCCCACCCCAACTCCGTTATGGTGTTATAGTGATTAACAAAGACAGGAGAACCTACTCTGTGGGCGGGGTGGGACAAAGGCCAAGGAAGAACTGCCTGAATCTAGGTGAAGGTTGCCCTTTGCACGCGTTATAGAACCTGATGGTGACCCAGTGGGGAAAAGGGACCCTTGAGGGAGGATATAGGGTCCTGAGTTCTAGTCCCAGCTCTGCTACCCATTCTCTGTGCCTCTCACACCCGCTCCATGTAGGTTCCCCCATCTGTAAAATGCATCAGAAAGACTTCTTAGAAATGTCACTATCCTGGGACCCCTCAAGCTGATGGAGAGTGGGTTGGTTATAACAAGGTACTAGGGTACATACCGAGGTTTCTTCTGAGGGAAGGCACGTCATCGTCCCCTTTCCCAGAGAGCAGGCCCAGAGCATCTAGTGGCAAGCCTGCCCAGCTGCCTTCTCAACCTGGTGCTCATTCCCTCTGTCTGCGGCCAAGGTAGGGGATGAGATCGTCCGGATCAATGGATATTCCATCTCCTCCTGCACCCATGAGGAAGTCATCAACCTCATCCGCACGAAGAAGACTGTGTCCATCAAAGTGAGACGTGAGTGAGGCCAGATGACCAGTGGTACTGATGGAGGGGTGGGGTAGGGTGGGATAGGCGGTGGGGTCCCTAGCTCCTGGGGCACCGTCCTAACCCCTATGCCATTCTCCCACAGACATCGGCCTGATTCCCGTGAAGAGGTGAGCAGGACCTTCCTCTGCAGACAGACTCTTCCCTGTGGGCTCAGGGTCCTGGGATAGGCATTGGGGTCTGGCTTCCACCAAACCAGTACTGCTCCTGGGCCAGAAGTGGCTGGAGGCTCCAGATGGGCAGATCTGGATTTGGAGCCTGGTTCCTCAAACATCTCTCTCTAATGACTGCCCTTTTACATCCCCGTCCCACTAGCTCTCCTGATGAACCTCTCAAATGGCAGTATGTGGATCAGTTTGTGTCAGAATCTGAGGTAAGGGCCAGGACCACCTGTGATGGGGTCTGGAGACGGTTGTCTTCAAGGAAGGGCAGCAGGTCCCAAAGGGAGGGCTTGCCCCAGAGGTGTGCCTTCAGGGGCTTTAGACAGGCTCCCAAGACATCCAGAGACATCCAGAACATCCCTGAGGCCCCCAGGGCATCCAGCCAGGCCCAGCTGGGGCAGACATACCCCCTAGGAACATAATGGCAAGCAGTCTTATATGAAGACAGCAGTACTTGCTCTAAAGGACTTTATGAAATCAAGAGACAACTTGCACACATGTGGACACCCAGTGACCCTTATCCCATCCTTCCTTCAGGGTGGGCGGAGCAGCCTGGGCTTCCCCGGCAGTCGGGAAAACAAGGAGAAGAAGGTCTTCATCAGTCTGGTAGGATCCCGGGGCCTTGGCTGCAGGTGGGTGTCAGTCATGCCCTGGGGCTCTCTCATGGCCAGTAGACCCCAGGAGACCCCTAACACTTCTCCCCTTTCTCACTGCTGCTTCTGAGGAGATGACACTTCTCAGTGTCTGATTTCCTCTCTGGGCTTCACAACAGCCCTATACAGCCAGAGGGACAGCTCTGACAGGCCCATTTTATAGATGAGGAAACTGAGGCCCATAGGCAGAGCCGTGTTCCGTTGGTGGGCTCTTGAGTCACTGCAAAAGGGGCCCGTCTAGCTGGCCATCTCTGTTACAGTTCCCTTGTCATTTATTACCTTGTGGGGTTCCTTAAGTGGCAGCCAGGGAATTGCAAACAGGCATCAGGCCACCTGAGGTGGTCTTATTACACACACAGGTGTTAGACTTATAGATCTAGGTTCCAGCCCCTGCTCTCCACCTGTGAGCTCTTGAACCTTGGACTGGTCACTTAACCAGTCTGAGCCTAGTTTCCCACTCTATAAACTGGGAATGACGATCCCCCATACCAGCTGTTGTGAGCAAGAATGAGATGTAGAGATAAAGTACCAGCTTAGTGCCTATTAGGTAGTAAGCAGTTTGTAAACATTAGTTATTATTACTTAACTTTTTCATATTGTTTCTACTCATTCACATTTATTCAATGCTTTTCTGCCAAGCATAGGTGCTAAAAAGTCCCTCCTTCCCAACCACTAAATACTTACAGTGTAGAGTTGCAAGGGCCCTAATGAAGCTCCTTTCTGCATCAGAGATGGCAAATAGGTCTCCCGTCCTGTGCTATTTTTCATCAATTAGCGGTGGCTGCCTGGAGTCCTACAGCTGACCCCTTTTTGACTCCCCCCAAATTTACTAATAACCTACTGTTGACTGGAAGTCTTACCGATAACATAAACAGTTGCTTAACCCATAGTTTGTGTTTTATATACTGTATTATTACGACAAAGTAAGCTAGGGGAAAGAAACTATTGTTAAGAAAACCATAAGGAAGAGAAAATGCATTTACAGGGTTGTACTATGAGAAATCCACACACAAGTGGACCCATGCAGTTCAAAGTCATGTTGTTCAAGGGCCAGCTGTGTTTTGAAAAGACCTCTAAGGCACCAAATCCAGGTTTGGTGGAAAAGAGTGCTATGATCAGTTCGTGATGTCTGCCACAGATGTGGCAGGTGTGAGAGGGGAAAATAACAATACGAATGCCATCCTTGGTGTAGGTATCTTAGGAGCGCTGAGGAGGGAACAACTATTTTAGGCTTGGGATAGAATAAGGAGTTTGGTGAAATCCTTGTAGAGGAGATAGCATTTGAATCTTAAGGAATGGAAAGAAAGAAGAAACAGCATATGCCATATATTGGGTGAGGGGTTGGGTAGCGGGAAATTACAAATAGTTTTTTTGTGGCTGTTGCCGCAGGGAAATGAGGCTGGACTGGTAAACGACGGAGTCCCATGGGTACTGAGCCTCATGGGTGACCTGGATCCTGAGGGGCCAGCATACGGGACACACAGGCAGAGGGACCAGGACATTGAGAATGAGCAGCACTGCCAGGGATGAGCAGAGCCTCACCCATATTTCCCATCTCTCCCACAGCATTTCCAGTGGGCCCATCCAGAAACCTGGCATCTTTATCAGCAACGTGAAGCCTGGTTCCCTGTCTGCTGAGGTGGGGCTGGAGGTGAGTGACCGACACTGGGATGCCCCAGAGGGGTACAGGGTCAGACGATGACCCTGGTCATCACGTTAGTGATGGAGGTGCAGGCCTTTCCACACAGCCCTCTCCCAACAACCGCTGGCTGATGATTCCTCCCCATCCGCCAAGTGAAGGCTTCACGTTTCACCTTTCTAGTCTTCTCTGGCTCTGAGAGCCTTTGGTCCTGACCTTGGGGATGTAGTAATAGTAAAGAATTGACATTCATTGAGTGTTTACAGGGTAGGACTTTCTTCTAAGCCCTTTAAAAATGTATAAGAACTCTGAGAATTAGGTACTGTCATTTTACAGATGGAGAAACTGAGACCTGGAGAAAGTGTATGATTTTTCTAAGATCATGTACCTAGTGTAATAGGGCTGGGATTCAAACCTAGGTAGTCTGGTGCCAGAGCCAGAACTCTTTTTTTTTTTTTTTTTTTTTAAGTTTATTTATTTATTTTTGAGAGAGAGAGCGCATGCATACACAAGCATGGGTGGGGCAGAGAGAGAGGGAGACAGAGAATCTCAAGCAGGCTTCCTGCTGTCAGTGCAGAGCCCGACGTGGGGCTCAGACTCATGAACCATGAGATCACCACCTGAGCCAAAATCAAGAGTCAGATGCTTAACCAACTGAGCCACCCAGGTGCCCCCAGAACTGTTAATCTCTACTTTTGACAAGTTACTTCCTTTTTCTGCACTTCAGTTTCCTCTCCTGAAAAATGGGGGCAATAGTCTTCCTTCTAGGGTCATTGTGTGGATTAAATGAATTAATACATATGCTTCCAACTGTGCCTGGCTCATAGTAAGGGATTGATGAGTGCTAGCTTTTATACAAAATATTATTATGGCTCAATAAAGCCTCTGCTATATGAGAAACCCAAGGCTCCTATGTCTACAAACTGAGTTTTTAAAGCAAATACAAATTAAGCCAAAGGAATGAACCTCTAATGGGATAATATTTGACAGCCGATAAAGGAAATATAAAGTGTAGGCACCCTGGGAGGATACCATTAGAGCTTTCTAACTGCTCTATTCATGAGGAAGAGCTGAGGTGCAGCCACTGGATATGTGACTCTGGCCCCTGGGGGAAGCCCTTCCTGCAGCCGAGTAGGTTTACAGATAGTGGAGACACACTGAACCCTCTCCATTTCTCCTCCAGACAGGGGACCAGATTGTCGAAGTCAACGGCATCGACTTCTCCAACCTGGACCACAAGGAGGTGAGATGCGGGGTCTGCACCTGCTGGCCATTATCATGTCTGCCCTTCACTTCCCATGCCCCACCCCCAACCCTGCCATGGGGTCTGAGACCTTCTGTGATGTCTAGAGGCCTTGACTGCTCTGGGCTGTCAGGCTTCAGACAAGGTCTGTCTGCTTGTCCCCCCAGGCCGTCAACGTGCTGAAGAGTAGCCGCAGCCTGACCATCTCCATTGTAGCTGGAGCTGTAAGTCCAGAATGACCTGGTAGGGCCCCCATAACCCCTGACTTCCAACCCCGGCCATTCAGACCCCTGATCTCTGGCACACACTCCTGGGAAGGGCCAGAGGGTCTCCTTTCCTGAAGCTCTGACAGAGCAGAGGGAGAGATCTCTGCCTAGCGGGGAGAAGCTTGCTCAGAGACAATAGGAGCCACAGTGCCTGACACGGGGCGCCATGCTGATAAGAGGACAACCTACATCTTGGTCCCCAGGGCTGTGGCAGTGGCTGGCCGGGTTCCCTGGGAGACTGAGCAAGAGGTCTCTTTTCACTCCCCCGAGGGCCGAGAGCTGTTCCTGACAGACCGGGAGCGGCTGGAGGAGGCACGGCAGCGCGAGCTACAGCGGCAGGAGCTTCTCATGCAGAAGCGGCTGGCAATGGAGTCCAACAAGATCCTCCAGGAGCAGCAGGAGATGGAACGACAGTGAGTGTGGCCAGCCAGGGTGCCCCCTCCCTCTCCTCCCTGCCCACCGTGTCCTGGGCCAGCTTCATCCTGCCCCCCTGAGGCCTGTCCTCAGACCAGATGGGTTCAGTGGTGGTCAGTGTATCCATCCCTTGCCTCCAGACCACCAAGCTCTCCCCTTCTAGTTGAGGAGAGCCCTTGACTTCCAAAACCCAGAAGTATGGAAAATGAGGATGCTACCAGCAGTAGCTAACGTTTGTTGAGTATCAGTCATGTGGCCGGCATTGAATCAGGACCTTGTTTATGTCTTGCTTAATTTAATTCCCACAATAGCTCTGGAAGATAGATGGTATTGACCCATTTTACAGGTGAGGAGGCTGGGAGGTCTTAGCTCAGGGAGGTTAAGCCACTTGTGAACAAAGTCACATGTGGCCAAGCTGGGATTCACACCTGTCTGTGGTAATAAGGCTCACCCATCCTAAGGTTGGTTGAGATGATGGACTGGGACAATAAATGTGGTGAGCAATTCACAAATAAAAAGCTACTGTCAAAATCCAAATCCAGATACATTCTAGGAGTGTAAAAACAATTTGGAAAAGGAAGGTGGACAGGATCTTTCCCTCTTCCCCATCACAGAATTAGCCTGGAGAATCAGCCCTGGTGGTACCTCTGCCCATTGCCCTGGCCTTGGCCAGTGGCCCTGGCTACATATTGCCTGGGGCCCTCCTCCCAGAGGACCTGACTCCAGCAAGGCCCTGCCTACTGTCAGTCACTTTATCTAAGTGTTTGAAGGTAGACACATAGAGTGTGGCCTGCGTCGATCCGCCTCCCATCCCTGGCAGCACAGAATCTCTGCTCAGCAGTGCCAGGCAAAACCACACAAGAGCACGAGGCCCAGATTTTCTTGGACCCGCTTCCCCAGCATCCAAATCTGGTCCAGGCATCCTTGGAAGGGAGCCCATAAGAAAGATTTTAAACCTTTCTCAAATTAGGAATTAGCTACAAGGAAGAGAGAACTTCTCTTGCATAGACTCTAGCATGCCAATCTGAATTTGTGTTTCAGGAGAAAAAAAGAAATTGCCCAGAAGGCAGCAGAGGAGAATGAAAGATACCGGAAGGAGATGGAACAGTGAGTGCTTGGGTCCACATGTCTGCGTGCAGACGTGAGTGTGCTCTTGGGATTGTGGCCAGCCAGAGGCCCCCTCCAGGCCCAGTTTGCCTGGCCTTCTTGTCTCCTGGTAGCCATTCCATAATTCTAGTAAAGCCCATCATGTTAAGGTAACTAGAACATAGTCCTGTAATCCTCAGGGTGGCATTGACACTCGATGTCGAATACAAGTGCCAGGAACTTTGTTTTCTTCATCACAGCTAGAGCCATGCAGCCTCTCCCCAGGCTGGTTAGGGTTTCCCAATAGGCAGAGGGTGGGCCTGTAAAAGTCCTGACCCCAGTCACAGGCAGGGGGATCTTATTTCAGGATTGTGGAAGAGGAGGAGAAGTTTAAGAAGCAGTGGGAAGAAGACTGGGGCTCAAAGGAACAGCTGCTCTCATCTAAAACCATCACCGCTGAGGTGCACCCAATACCCCTTCGCAAGCCTAAGTGTATGTATCATGTACCGGGGGAGGGAACTTCCTTCTGGGGCCTGGGGTTGGGGAGTATCTTGACAGAGATACTAGTCTCCCTCCAATCACCACCACCTCCCCAGGTGAAGAGCCCACAGCTCCCTGGGCTGTATTTCTTTCATGGAGGGGCAGCCATGTGCCGGGGCATGGGGGTGGGCAGGATCTCTGCCCCTTTGTCCCCAGGGGCCTGTTGCCAGACTCTCCCCCACAACACAGACTCAGGCAGGAAGGCCTCTCCTTGTGCCCTTGGGCTGCTGACCAGGGAATGGAGAGCTCTGTCAAAAGCGAGTTGTTCATTGGATCATCTTCTTGCTTTGCTGAGTAGTACGTCCACATCCCACCTGGTTCTGAATCAGAGCTGGGTGCAACAGCAGCAAGAAAGAGGGGAAATGCTCATGATGGACAGGATTTGGGTGATCCGAGGCTGATGGGTGACTGTGGGAAGACCTTACCTGAAGTGCCCCTGCCACCTGCACCCCTGTGCATGGGGTATGGTCACACCCCTTCAAGGATGGAGTCAGGGAGAGGACTGAGACCATTCCTAGGCCCAAACTGCGGCCATCTGGGGCCTCAGCTCCCTCTGCCCTTTGCACCTCCTTTCTTCATCTGCCCTGGGTTCTCACTTCCAATTTCAGGCCAGGCCTCCACCACCTGCTCCCCTGTCCACCTGCTCACAACGCCTACTACCAGGTGCCCACACCACCAGGGCAAAGTAGTGGCTCACTCTCAGTGCTTCTCCAGGGGGCTGGTGGTAGGAAGCCAAGCAAGGTAGCTGGGGGCCATGGCAATCACGAGTCCAGGATTCCACATTGGGCCTTATTGTCACTTTACATGACATAGGGCCAGTTCTGCTGCAGCTGATTGTGCTCAGCTGACCTGGGAACCTCTAGATATGGGGTGCATCTACACCCAAGAACCAAGATTCCCCATGTCTGCTGTATCACAGCCATTTGGGATCTTGTGATGGTCTAGACAACCTGGCCCCAACTTTGGATCATATTGGGCCCTAGAGTGGCATCATCTTGTCAACACAGGCCACTTGGGTCAACAAAGAGGTTGGGCAGGCACCTGGATGGTTCCGTTTCACTCCTGCCTGGTGCAGAACAAACATCTCCCAGCACATTCCTTCCTGGCAGCAGGGGATGGTGTCATCCCAGGGTCCTCTCTGAAGGACAAAGCAAGCTCTCATCAGCCTCCCCCCTGACATTTGGTATTAGTTAAGGATGTGGCCAGAGCTAAATTCCTGGTGAATAATCTGTGTTTGAGACAGGGAGCTAATTTGCTCTTATGAGTGAAATAGGAGCTTCAGAAGGAGAGAAATCGATTTTAATTGCTTCTCGTGAAAGTAATCCTAGTCAATTTAGTACCTTTCTAGAAACCGGGCCTTGGCTTTAGAGCAAACACATTCTCTCAGGAACTACGAAAAATAAAAACACTTTCTCTGGCTAGCTATTTATTTAGTGCTTTTAAACCAAATCAAGCTTCTTGAATGAAAGGAGCAAGAGCTTTCCCTTTGCTTTGAGATACAAATTTTTTCTAAGGGAATGTGCGAAACATGGGATGGATGGCCCGAGCCTGCCTGCCTGAGCTGGGGCAGCTGCTGCCTCTGTCCATGTCCGTGTGCACTGGCAATTTCATTCTCCTTGGGAAATCAGTCAGAAAATGCAGGAAGGCCTCTGAGTGAGCTCAATTCCTGCCTCCCTCCCCATTCCTGGGAAGCTGGAGCGGTCTCTGTTGTGTTGAGCCAGCACAACCGGGACAAGCCGGCTCCTCCCTGGTGACTCTTCAGCTCTGGGGCCCAGTTAGCCAACAGGTTATATCTGACTCAGGTGTTTGTGCCTGTGAGGGATGGACTGCACATTTTTGAACAGACAGGAAAGAGTGTGGAGCATCTCTTGCCTGAAAAAGAAAGCCACTCATCCTAATGATGTGGTGGGCCTGACTGCTTCTCTCACCACCACCTGTTCTAGGGGCACTGCCTGCCTCCCTGTGGCTGACCCAGCAGAACCCCAACATTCTTCTGAGCCAGGACAGATTGTCAGAGAGTCCCCCAGAAGAGCTTTCTTTAGCCAAAGCAATGAGGAGGGGGGTTATTAAGCATCCCAGAGCCGGAAGGAGCCTTGGGAGATGAAGAGGTTTAAACAGGATATTTCTAGGATTTTCTCTCCATTAGGACCCCAGCAATTAGCCTCCACCCCCAATGGACCCCATGGTTTAGAAGTTGAGGTTTTTCCTATCAAACTATGAAGCAATCAGTTGTTTTCCTATTGTTTTATTATGTAGTCATTATTTGCAAGAAAGCATCAATGTTCCACTATTTAATTAACATAAATTGAGCCAAAAGCTAAGGAATTTAACTTACAGCCTTTTCATAGAGGAATGGGGAAGTTCTTCTAATTAATATTTGAAATATTAATAGGCAGGTCACAGCAGACTCATCCACTCCCTTCAGCAGTCCCAGGGAGGCCAAAGTCCAGATTGGAAACCACCGGAATGGATGATTTGCTATTCTCCACATGATGTCAACATTCATGTCTTCCTAACCACATGTCTCCCCTTTACCCTTTGAAATCTCCTTACCTCCTCAGGATCAACCTGCCCACATAGCTCTGACATCCCCCAGGGACCCAGAGTTCCCAAAGTGGTAAGAAGCAGCCAGGAAGGTCTGTTCTGCCATTGTAAACCCTTGGTACCAGACATGTGTAATACTCAGATATTCCCATATTCTGTGCCTCACTTCCCAAGTTTCAACTGAATGCCCTGCACAAAGTTTCTCACTTGACTGTCAGGTCAGAGGTCCCCCCGTTGTTAGCCCATTTTACAGACAGAGAAACTAAAGCTACCAAGGTTGAAAGCACTGCATGCACGATCCCGGAGCAAGACAGTTTTGCTCTGGGCTCCTGAGCCCTGTTCCCACCCCTGACCTCACAAGTTCCCATAGAGGAGGCCGGGCATAGGTCATTAGGCTCCTGGGAAGCACCTCTGGCCTCTTGGTCTCCCAAGTCCCTCTTCGTTCACCAGCTTCCTCCTCTTTTCCTGGGTAGCTGATCAGGGAGTGGAACCTGAGCTTGAGCCAGCAGATGTCCCGGATGGAGGCATGGAGGAGCAGGGAGAGCAGGTTTGCAGCCCCCGCTTCACTGCCTGGCCTTGCTGCTCCGCTTGCCTTGCCCACTGCCTCCTGCTAGCCCTGCAGACACCCAGCTCTAAGGGGCCATCACGCGGCAGGGACCACTGGATTGTGCAAAGCTCCTGCAATCCCAGCTTAGTCCAAGCACTGCACACAAAGCCTGAGGACAGGACTCCCAACCTGGCTGAAATGTCTGCTGATACACACCTAAACAACTGAACCACTGGTTCAGTGCTGCCCAAGCCCAGGTTCTTCCTCTGCTGCTCTGGGATCTCCCTAAGGACTCCCTAGATATCCCCAAGGTCAGGCAGGAGGCTTTCAAGATCCTGTTCTAGAACTCAGGCTGGTCAGGGTGGGTAATTATTTAATGGATCACTGCTGGTGCAGGGAGCTTTAGGTTTGAGATGTTTCCCGGTCATACTGTTGCCTGGGGGAAGCAGGGGGCTGGTGCCCTGATGATCTGGTCTGGGGCCGGGGCGGGGTACGCTTGTTGGGGCAGACCTGCCCACAGCTGCCTGAGCTGCCTTTCTCAGAGCTGACCCCTGTCATTGCCTTCTCTCTCAACATTGAAAGCAGAGGATGTGGTCTGTACTATGAGATAAGACAGTTTTGTTCTGAGTGATAGCAATTTGAGGCATAAACGCAGGCTATCTTTTGTCTTGAGCCATTTCTTGGATGGAGGGACCAGACATCAGTCAGGAGAGGCCTCGTTCTCTTTCAGTGTTAGCAGACTGCAGCTGTGATTTGCAAAAGCTCATCCCCCAACAAGGGCTGTCTCTGATTTTCTGGCACTGACTCCTGAAGCCAGTGTCCTGGGGAGAAGCAGTTGACGGGGCCCCAGGGAATCAGGGCCGTTCTCTGGCAGCCTGGGGCCTGCTCTGTAACCCAGGTGAAGCCAGGTGAGTGGAGAGTCAGACCGAGGGTGCGGTTTTGCTATTGGGTCTGCTCCTCATCTCACAGCCACATGTCCTTGAGATCCCAGCCTCTGGCTGCTGTCTGTGGACGCTCTGGCTGAGCCAAACAGCATCTCATCTCTTTGTTCTCTGTGTTATAGCCTTCGGGTGGTTTTATCGTTACGATGGCAAATTCCCAACCATCCGGAAGGTAGGGCGCGAGACTGAGTGCTGTGCCGTTTGCTGCTGAGTTTGCTGTGGGGTTTGGCCTTTACGAGCATTGTTTCTTTGCCTGTCAACTCTAAACAGTGTAACCCGGCCTGTTCACTACAAGGGCTGACCTGTCTGCGTCTATCAGGCTGACGTCAAAAGGCAGGGCACTGCCACAGGAGCATTGTGGGGGGAAAGTGTTCATGGGGTGAGACCCGCCTGAGTACCATCTGGCACCATCTCGGTCAGCATCAGCCCCGGAGGCACAGGGCAGGGACAGGGCCATGGCAGCTTCTTTGTTCCTCTGTCAATACCAGAAGCCATAGTCAGACAGAGTGAAATATCAGGTTGGGTATACACAACACACGTTATGAGACCAGCTGCACCAGACACAGACTCGCTGCCAGGCAGGGATTTTCTGCCTCAAGTTGAGACTAAGAGCCACACCAATCATAACTCTCTCCTAGAAATATCGCTACGTGTGCCAAGATAATGCATTTTTCTGGTCTCTGGGGCCTTGAATTTTCTCTCTAAATCTTATTACTGTATCTCCAGGCCCCATAAGACTCTCATCCTTTTTCTTTCTAAATCACTTTGGCATTTGATTATGAAAACGCCACTGTTAATATCTGTAGATTGGACATATGAGATGACTTGGCATTTGGAAATCAGGCATCAGCATAAATCTGGGTGAACTAATTTAGTTGTTATCACTCGGCTGGGTCTTTCTGGCAGGATGTTAGTCCCCCAGAAACCAAAACGGTGGCAGCTGGGTGACCGTGATGATAGGTAGGTAGCTTCTCCTTGCCTGTAAAATGGGAATATCTGATGTGCCAGAAACGTCTGCTCCCTTCTTCCAACACGATACTGTTAAGATAATAGACAGCAATATTATTCCTGACAGAAGTTAGCATCTTGACCTAGGAACACAGATCATGATTTGCATGATATTGAATAAACTTAGGACAGGGCACCACAGGGGATTCCTTTCCACACTGCCTTGGTCTCAGAAAGGACCCAGTCTCATAAGACTGTCTTTTTTCATCCTACAGCCCGATTCTGTGGCTTAGGCTATCTCATTGGGGTTAGATTTTGAATGCTCTACACACTATCTCTACTAGAACTCACCTACAGAGGACAGCACGTGCGTGCGCACACACACACACACACACACAGGATTATACTGGAAAAAATACCTATACCTTTATGGATAGGTAAAATCTCTTCCAGGCACTAATAACCAGGTAAATGTAAGAGAACTAACATCTTCTCCACACACATACCTCCCATAGGAAATCATGTCACTTGGACATTGCTATTGGTAAGAAGGAGCCCTGTTTTCACCTATTCATTAGTTCAGTATAACTGAATAGCTGGTATTTTTTTCATTTCATTTCCAAAAGAGAGAAAGATGGCTTCTAGGTAAGAAGCAAGAGCACATCCATCCTGTCTGCCTTTCCTCTCAGTCCAAACTGGGAGGGACCATTTGCCATGAATTTAACTGACAGCTAAAAGGACAACAGAATCACATCTCTCATGCTGGCTCTGAAAACCCATTGTCTCCTCCTCTAGAGCCATGTGACTTGCATTGTCTCCCAGCAGCTAGAACACCAAGTCCCCGGGTAATACACTTGGCTATCTATAGCCATGATCATCAGTGTGCACAATTTCCCTTATTTGAAAAGACAAAGATTCGATGTTTGTTATTCCTAACCTGGGAGTAAGTCCCTCTGAGGCTCAAGGTCCCCAGGCCTGTGGCCCCACAAAGTCTGTGTCAGCCTGCAGGATTCATGGTTCTGACTAAGCCTTTTACTAGGATGCTTGAGTAAATCCTGCAAACCAGCCCTATGGCAGGATCCCACTGTCCAGCAGGTGAGGTAGATTCACACGCAACTGAGTAACCTGTATGGAGGGCGCTAGTATGAGGTCAGTAGACGATGCTACGGAACAGTTTAACCTTCTGCATCACTAAACAGACGCTGCTTTCTTGGAAAGGGGACAGAGACTGCCACATCTGCCTGTCCCATCCAGGATACCTGGCTCTAAAATGTTAGCACTGGTAGTTTGAGGGTTTTTTGGTTTGGTTTGATTTGGTTTGGTTTTTAAGCCAACAGAATGGCCATTCCTATCATTGGTGGTCCCTGTGAGAGGCCATACCCATATCCTAGCAAGCTGCCATTAGGCAGAATGTCATTGGCTCCTCTCGGGGTAATTGCTGTCTGATCTATAACATGATGGCAGGGTTCATCTATCAGCTGAGCCAAGAGTCTAGTGAACATGGTGGGTAAAGAACCAAGCAGGACTCTGAAGCAATGAGAGTCATTGCTACTACTTTTCTCAAGTAGTTCATAGACTGTCCTGGTGGTGGGCCTCTATCCCTGACATGGGTGACCATCTCCAAAGAGCATTACCTGTGCATGGAAGTAGGGATTGTCTTTAGGAGGTGAGGCAGGATGACTCAGTAATAGGTCCATAACTACACCCCCAGGCTTCTCCAGCTGTGGATAAAGTTTCGTATCCGGTAATGAAAAACTCAGTTCCTCATTCCTGCCCTTAGATGCTGGGATGATTTGGGAATTCTGAGAGAAGCCCCCAGGGAATGCTAGTTAGGGGTGGGGATGAGCTCAGTGAACAGGCAGATTTCCTCCTCCCCACATCAATTCCCCAGAATGTTGACTCTCTCTGCTGCCACCTCTCCTGAGTGCTAACTCTGTCCTCTGTGCTGTGTGTGATGGGGCTGACACTCCCTCCTGCCATACTCCTGTTGCTGCCAGCTCATCTGGGCACAGTAGAAAATGTGTTGGACCTAGAAGACTCAGGTCCAAACCCTGGCACCACCACTTACTGGATGTTTGATATTGGGCAAGGGACTTCACCTCTCTGAGTCTTGGTTCCTTCATCAAAAGAATGGGGATAATATCTACCTATGAGCATAGGTAGATTTACCTATGAATGTAAATCCCTTAGCACATAGGCAGTCCATACATTGTAATTTTCTTCCTCCCTTACCCCTTGGCTTTCCTGCAACCCCATGGGAGGAGCAGGCAGGAAAGCAGGTTCTGTAGGTCCAATTCCAACAGGAAAAATAAGGAGTTTGTTTGCCTTGCATCTCCTTTCCCTAATCTTGTTGAACTCTGACAGTCAGTACAAAGCAGTTAGGCTATTCTCTTCCCCCACTCCCATCTCCTAGTCCTATGGTTTTTGGCTAATCCTCAGTTCAGGGGTCTAGTTCAGAGGGAATGGTGGACTCTACAGGATTCAATGGTCTGAAGTTAAGCATCAGAGCAAAATCTGATGTCCCTGGCTCTGGGCTCCCAGGTCTGAGGCTGGCTCCTACCTCCTGAAGCTTAGGACAGAGGATCTCTGCAAATGAGACTCGTCAGCTCTCCCAGATTTTTTGTAGAATCTCCCAGGATGCATCTCTGTTGTGTGAACATGAGACACCTCTCTTTCCAGATGATGGAGAAGGCGTGTGCTCAGATACTAGGACACAAATACAATGTATTCTATTTATACACCACTTTCATTTTATAAGGCTCTTTTATAGATGTTGTTTTATTGGCTCTGAGGGCAAGCCTATAGGCAGGAATTTCTTCTATTTTGAAGATGAGGTGAATCAGGCCCAGAGAGGTTAAAGAACTTAGCCAAGATCACATAGCTACTTAGTGAGCTAGTAAGCCAGTTCTTCTGGCTGGAAAAAGGAATGTGTCTCCCACTCCACAGTGGGTAGCACAGTGGGTAGACCTGTCCTAAATCTGAGGTCCAGTGCCCAGTGCAGATGGGCAGAGCAGGGGGAGGGGCTCACTTCTGGTGTTGTCTGTGGGCTGAGTGCCCTGTTTGCTGTGCTGTGCCAGTGTCTACACTGCCTTTTAACCCTTGCCATGTAAACAATACCACATCTGCTCAGAAAGGAAAGGATAAGAAGAAAGCCAAGTATGACAGCCTGCAAGAGTTGAGAAAGAATAAGAAGGAACTAGAGTTTGAGCAAAAGCTTTACAAAGAGAAAGAGGAAATGCTGGAAAAGGAAAAACAACTGAAAATCAACCGGCTGGCCCAGGAGGTATGTGTCTGGCTCACAGGCTAGGTGAGCATCCCCAGAACATAATTTGGTTGTTCCCCACCATGCTCCCAGGGAACCAGCTGGAGTTGTGTTCCCCAAGTGGAGTCCAAGGATGGAGTGAGCCCTGCCCTTCTGCTCAGTCTAGAATGTGTGATCATCCTACCTGCCCAGGGTCATGGAGACCACCTTCTGGCTTAGGTGTATGTTTGGCATGGAGACTAGACTCCTTGCTAAAGTATGGGTCTGAGGCTAGCCTCTCTGCCCAGATCGTCACACTTAGGTTCACCCTTCACATACCTTGCTAGAGGTTTGAGTCTGTCCCCTCCATCCCAGCCCCACCAGAGTATGAGTCCAAGGCCAGACCTGTCCACCCTATGTGTGAATATGAGGTCTTTCTCTGCACTCAGGGTATGACCCCAAGGCTAACCCTTCTGCCTAGATTATAGGACTGAAGTTAGCCTTCCACCCACTTGTCATCAGGTCTGCGTCTGTCCAGCCTCTCTCCCCAGGTTATGAGTCCAAGACCAAATTTCCCCCACCTGCATTCGCTCTGAGAGTATGGGTCAGAGGCTAACCCCGTTGTGCAGGTGAGGTGTCTGAGGCTATTCCCCAATTGATCAGGCAGTGAGTCAGGCTGCTTCCATCAACATAAGGTGTATCCTAAGCTAGATCTCTTCAACCTGGACGTGTATCTAAAGCTGTCCCCTTCAAGATATGACAAAAGCAGTCGTCCAACATGAGTAATTCCTATTTCCTAGATGAGTTGGGTGACTTTAACTCCCTAGCTATTGGAGAGGTTATTGGTTCTGCTTCTCTTTAATGCTTCCATGAATCAGAATGCCAAGCTGATTAGATTACAAAATCAGAGTAATGCTGGAAAATGTGAAGTGCATTAGGTCTGGCATTAGGAGCGAGTAAGCAACAAAATTAAAAATAAAATCCAACTTGTTCTTCTGGAACAAAGTAGCCTGGAAGGGGAAAAAGAGTAAAGTTAAAATTTTGGCATGTGCCAGGAGCCTACAAAAGGGCCATTTTTAGAGAATCCCCAGATCCCAGAGTTCATGGGGACCCTGGGAGCCTTATCCCACTAATTCCAAACAAAGCACAAGTCCCTCCTCTGATTTTGCTAAGTGCCATTAGTCAGCTTGACACTCCAGCATCCTCTCCCTTCTATTTCCACCTCTTCTGGGGCCAGATGGAATAAGCCAGGGTCTTTTGCTGGATAGTGGACACACCCAACAGTACTCTTTAAAGAAGTGCTTCTATGCTGCTGATCTGAGTGTGCCACGCACGTGTGACTCAAGTGTGCCTCTCCTTTTTGCACTGGCTTTGGGTCCTAGGTGTCCGAGACAGAGCGGGAAGACCTTGAGGAATCGGAAAAGATTCAGTATTGGGTGGAAAGGCTCTGTCAGACACGCCTTGAGCAGATTTCCTCTGCTGATAATGAGATTTCAGAGGTAACAGAGCCCTTCTTTCCACATAGACCCTCCTGCTGACTTCAGAATGACCCACTCTGGGGACAGTGGGAGGCAAGATGGCCACATCAGGTTCACTGTCCAGGGCCACCCCTACCAGCCCACTCTGCCTTGCTCTCTGGAGGAGGGGGACATCTCTACATTTCTGGGCTTATCCCCTGAGTGGCCAGCAAGTCCTAACCCATCTGAGATGGTCTCAGGCATGTTGTTCTGGAGCAAGGGTGCCCCTTTCACTATCGAGTTGTTCCAGGTTAGATAAACTGTATGGGCACCTTACTTGTCACACATATGAGATAACTTGGGACTGTCCTACATTTGGACACTCCTTCCTAGCCACTTGGTTTGGGCTCACCTGAGCACCCAGGTGACAGAGAAGTGACAACCCCATGATTCTGGTTGGAGGGTGGTAGATTTCCAGCAGCA